GGTGGATTCATCGCACTGTGGTGGATTCCACGCTCTCTTTTAAACTTTCATTGTATCTTAAATTGCCTCTTGTTACTTTTTCGTTTCTCTCTCTAAAAAGCAGTTATTGTACTGCATCGATCAAAGGCGCAAGCCACGAAATACTAGAATATTGTAGGAAAACGGCTTCAAATGGCGGGAGTCCTTTTCACGAACATGTATATAGGCAGGACATCACTCCCCTTAGATACAAAACACCTAGGAATAGGTTCCACGAGGCAAGTGCGACAGCACTATAAGACCACGGCGGGACCCGCCCGAATACCCTATGGGAGGTTACAGATAGGGCGTTAAACCATAATCAACATCAACAACATCAACAACCAAAGTTCACCTCACGAGGCCGTAACGTTAAGCTTCCGAGTAAATATAAGTAGTACAGATTAATCGCAAGCATCTAATTACTACTCTTCTGCAGTGTCTCACAATAATAGCTATTGTACGTGGCTTAATAGCCTTAATTTTGAAGTAGTGGATATGGTGTTCGGCGATCGTTGCGCGAATCCGATCGTTCCGCGCACGGGCACGTTAGTTAGACCAAGCTTCCCGCTCAGCTCGCACCCGTACATAGGAAGATCTCTCCACCCAGCTCTTGCTCACTACTAATCAAATATCATATACTTTGTTCGTTACAACGACAGTGATATTCGACACCTTTGCCGTGTCAACAGTTTCCTAATGTGTTTTTTTACTATCTGTTGAAACAAAGACGGTGAGTGAGTACACGAGAAAAGTAACGGATAAGTGGGGCGGCTACTTCCTTCTGTCATGTAAGCGTTCGCTCAGAGCTAAAGTCATGGGTTGTACCATAACACACGCGATATACTATGAATCTTGGGTGCACGGCTGACACAAAAGAATGTTCAAGTGTGTTGTTGGGGCGTAGAAAACGCTACAACACAGTGGGTGTTATGCCCAAATGGATTCCATAAAAAGGATGATCGCAACTCGAATCATCACTCGGCGTGAATAGATCTCTCTAAATTAATGCGTCTTTTATCTACCACAATAAATATCTGATTTGGAGTCTACCAGACAGCGAATAAGAGCTAGGGTATACATATATAGCTTAAACCTCAGTCCTCTCCACGCGCGGACCCTTGTCGTCGCCAAAGTTGTCAAGGCGGTCCTCGATGATACCTTTCTCAATAGCGTGCACATCGACATGCGCAACAGCATCATCGCCGTCAAAGATACGCGAGATCTCCTCGAGTGTGGGTCCCTGGAAGCAAAAAAGGTTAGCGGATACATAAGTGTACTCTGTGCATGTTTACGTACCATAGTCTCAGGGTAGACAAAGTAGACAAAGACGAGCTCGACAGCGACCCAGAGGGTGTAGAAGAGAGCCAAGTTCCAGTGCTTGGGCAGGTTCTCCCATGCAATGGGGTTGGTCTGGGAGCCGACGGCGAGGGCAGCCTGGACGGTGATGTTCATGATCATGAGACCCTTTGCACGGAGAGCATATGGTAGAATCTCAATGGCGTAGGCGACGAGAAGACCAGACCAGGCTAGGGCATAACAGACACCGAAGAGCCAGACAAAGGGGATCTGGGCGTAACCTGCAGAGGAGTTTGTGTTGTTGGAGTTCTCGTAGATGGCGCAGGTGATGGTCCAGCACACGAATGAGACGAGCATGCCGATGGTGGCGCCGAGGAAGAGTGGACGACGACCGACTTTGTCGATCAGGGTGGCTGCGTAGACGGATACGATGAGGTACAACAGGCGTTCACCGCCAGAGAGCTATTCGTAATGTTAGCAATGTTCTATGAGAAATACGGACTGGTATCTTACAGCCATCTTCTGGTCTTGACTTGTGATGCCGGCGCCGGTGTAGACCAAGTTGATGTAGTTGGAGAAGAGCGCATTGCCAGAGTACTGCGAGATGATACCGAGGGAGATGAGGATGGCCAATCGCCATCGATTACCCTTGGTCCTGAAGAAGTCCATGTAGCTGCTGTTGGTGTTGGCATCGACTTCCAGACGGATCGTGTCCCTCATCTCTGTAAATTCGAACTGAACCGTAACGTTGTTTCGGTCTCCACCGGCATGGTAATAAGCGAGAGTTTCCAAAGCCTCCTCGTAGCGTTCCTTGGAAATCAACCAACGTGGACCTAAATTTCTTATCAATTTAAAGGCTCGGCAATTGTTTTGAGGTTACTCACTTTCAGGGACCCAGAAGATAAATATCAGCTGGAGAAAAGATGGCAGTCCCTGCATGAGGGTGATGGACCTCCAAGACCACTCGTTGTCGGCCTGAGACGTGCCCCATGCCACCCATGCCACAAAGACAGCTCCCAAATTCCAGAGACAATTGTATACGGCTGTAAACATGGCACGATGTTGCGGATGGCAGATCTCAGTGAGCAAAATTGGCGAACACATTTGTGCAAATGAGTTACCGAAACCGAGGATAAAACGACCGACCATGTAAAGTTTCCATTCGGTAGAAAAGGTCGAAACGAGAGCACCGGCGATCATAATTAGACATCCAGTTGCAATGGGAATCTTGCGTCCGAGCCATTGGGTGTAGAAGGGGACCAAGAAGAAGCTGACAATGGAACCAATGTTGTACATGTTGTTCATGATACCGAGGCGACCCCCGGTAGGCTTGTCGAAGTAGTTCTCCCACCGAGCCATTTGCTGCGACGAGTTCATCATCATACTACACAATCATCAGCATCTTCTACCGCTGTCAGGATGTAGTCACCTACCCATCGTAACCAGTAGTGGCAGAGGCGATACACAGGACACAGGAGTGCCAAAACAGCTTGCGCATGTTGGGGTCCCTGTACCAGATGACCTTCTCAAACTCGGGCGCGTCATCGCGGACAGCGTTGTTGCCCTTGGGGGCACCGACAGCCATACCAACCATGTCGAATGATAGGCAGGTTCAAACAAAGTAGGACTTGGATCGACCGGGTAGCGGCGACGGTCAGTTTCGCACGAACTGACAATGAACGTGTGGTCTTGGAACAATGCACGCCCGGCGCCCTGTATTTATACTCAACCCACTTTGTTAGATGCGGCACTAAGTATCAAGCACATCAGAACGGCCATCATACCCCGGACAACTCGACAGACATGGGTGCAGCGACGTGCAGGACCCACGTCGGAGAGCGGGTGTGAAAAGCACCAGTAAAATCGTGGTTGGATTTCTCCACCAAGCCGCCCGTTGGCACAAGGCCCGAAGCACCGCTGGAGTTGCATGTGCTAGACGGTAATCTCCTGCATTATCAGCACTAGCGGTTGGTGGTCAAAGCTGATACTTCGACCACTGATATCCCCATGGGGCAGTCGTGGCATTCTTCCAGAAGCTCGCACGGGTCCACTGAGGCATGTCTCACTCTAAATCCTGGAGCTCATCGTGTACCAAGACTGCCCTGAATTCTGGGAGATTCTCCATGTGCAAGCTGAAGATGAGTAGACTCCAAAGTCGAATATTTCGAGAGTAGCATCATGCCTAAGCAAGGCGACCGGTTTATGTTGAGACATAAGCTCGCAAACGTCTGATTGGTTAGACGGCGCCCACGTACATTACTGCCGCAGAAGAAAACACAGAAGAAGACCGTCCCAGCAAAGGGCGGCTCACAACAATTCATTGGTCGCTGTCCCACCGAGCCTGTTCATAAGGCTGGTACGTCCTGTAGTTTGGTTCGGATTCGTTTCTCCTTGGTCTTTTCCCATAACAGGCGACTCGTCCCGCGGGTGATCTTCTTTTGCACCAGGTATGCCTCGACTTCGTGTTCAGTCATTCGGAGGACCAACCGCAACCCAGACTTGCAGTAGTTTAACCTTTTACGATGCTACCAGATGCCAAGTTGGATAAATGGGCCTGTATTCCGGACCTGACACCTGGTGACGCAAGCACCAATAGGCGCCATCAGCAACATCGAACCTGGACTGGATTTCGGCATCGACGAGCGTCTAGAAGATGTAAGCGATGTTCAATACGAGTCCGAATGCCCGCGAGGGGCGTGATAGACAAGCGACGATCGCCACACGAGGTTGATGCGTTCAACCGACTTGGCAGCAGGTTTGAGTGCTGACAGCTGCCACCAGCGTGAGGTCGGTACAGTACTTTCTTTCTCTTGAGGGCAGCATTTCAACTGAAAATCTTCAGAGATATAGATCCTTAGACAAAGGCAATACCGATCTCGGTATGCGCGGATGTTCGGGGTTTAAGTTAATATGGATACGCGCGGAAAGGAGTCGTCTAGTGGGGCTGTAGACGCTAGGCCACAAATTGTCGCAAGACCTTCCGCCTTTTCTAATCTCGTAGCGATCTCAGTGTTGGTACTCATATCATCATGCCCTTGCCATACTGCATCAATGGTGTTCTGAAGCAAAGCCGATGGAAAAAGACCAGACGGCAAAGACGGATATCACCAAGAGTCTCCAAGAGTCTTCCGGTTTGAGGGTGTGCCACATGCTTGGCTGCGCGCCGAAATACACACAAGCGACGTCGGGCTGAAAACGTCTTTGGTGTGAGCATGGCGAGACTAGCAGAATGTCCCATATACGGCGATTCGTTATATTAGCCGGCAAATGGCTGACAAGATGGCTTGGTGTGGTCAGATGACAAGGACGTCGTCAAGCTTTGTGGGGATGTGTAAGCCGGAAAGACGGTGCGTGGGTGAATGAGGGCACGAATAGGACCGATCAGCCTCTTCAATCTGGAACTCCCGTGTATCACCTGCTCTATCAGTATCCGCTAGGACTCCTTGCAAGATGCGGCACGGTGCGTCTTGGTGTGAGACTCTTGTTGGACTACTACGAGAAGAGTGGGTGCAACTTGAACTGTGGCGATGTTGAATCCCATGGAGTAATCCCAACTACCGGCAACGTTCCCGACATGCTCAGACACATGATTGTTGGATCACATATTTCAGTGTTCTAGTGCAATCAACAGCGCATTCGCCGCATCAGGATAACGTCCGTGGTAATGCAGCAGCGCCGACAGTGGTGCATCAACTATTTTCCGGTGTGAGATAGATATAAGGACAAACCAATCGGCCAATTAGTTCTCTCGACGATCGTACAGCGCGAGTTTTCCAAGGTCGGATGATCCCTAGTGTACACAGGGGTGATGCTGCACCGAATATTGCACCCGGAACGTTGACAAGTACATTTTGCGTACGGTGAGGCCAATGTTTTAGTGTTATCCGGTTGATTTCCCTCAAAAAGGTCCTGTCAGCTTCGGAACGCGGTGGCCCACTAACTTGTTGTTGACGGACCGGCATATTCGTATTCCTGTTCCATCAACGCATACCGAGAGATTCGGCCCGAGGAAGCCGAAAGCTTAACCATAGTAGATAAGGTAGCGGTACAGAGGTGCCTTTCAAAAGTTCTTGCTAGCGCCACGCTGGCAGCTGGTCTATTGGCCCGACTTTCTTGGCAAGAATCGGATTTTTTTTTAAGCTGGAGATGGCCAGTATACTCGTTCTCTTGGTGTTTCTAGATATATCATGGCTCCAAACACAGAGCTCTCTACTCGTGCCTTAATTGTCACTTTAAAGTCACCTTTTGGTGGCAAATCAACCACCCAAATCAGCGCAATTACAGAAATTTCACCACGTACAATTGACGCAATCTATGGTAGAGCCTGCCAGCGAGGCTTTGAGCCAAATGCACCTATGATTAAGCTCCTCTCAGAGCACCTTGAAGACGCTCCTCGTGCTGGTCGCCCTCGAAAGCAAGAAGCTGTCCACAAAGCTGCCATTGAGAAAGTACGCCGCGATAGGTATGGACGAGAGAAGAGCTGTGCTGATATAGCTGGTGATCTTAGTGTTCACGGCTACAACGTGTCCTCCACTACAGTGTGGCGAGTCCTCAAAGCAGCCGGTTACAAGAAGACGAAGCCAACAAGGAAGCCTGGGTCGACGAAGAAGATGAAGCAGGAGAGGCTTAATCAGTGTCTTGCCCACAGAGACTAGACTCTAGATGATTGGAAGAACGTTATCTGGTCTGACGAGACCTCTGTTGTGCTTAATCACCGTCGTAGTGGCTATCGCGTCTGGAGAAAAGCAGATGAGGCATTTACAAAATCTGTAATTCGGGAGAGGTGGAAAGGGTACTCTGAGTTTATGTTCTGGGGCTGTTTTTCTTATGATCATAAGGGCCCCTGTTATGTCTGGAGACCTGAGACAGCTTAGGAGAAGTGTCAGATATTCACTCTTATCTGGAATACTGATAAAAATTGGTAATAATGATGATGGGTAGTGATGATTGATTGTGTTGTTGTTCTGTCTACGGTTGTGGGCTCACCTAGGGGGTGCCAAGCCTTCCTGTGATCCGATTGGCTCTCACAGATGCTGGGTCGCACTAGTCAGACCTGGCGTCTGTACGCTCTCATCTTCAACAGTGCTATTATCTGACAAGAAGAGAGAGGTAGCTCTTCAGATTACAAAGATGAATGAGGTCTTAGAGCTAATTATGAGAGAGGAGTGAGAGCTTATAACAGGCGTAAAGAGGATAGGATTAAGAAATAAGCCTGGCAGATCTCCTCAATGGAGATGGATAAAAGAGACTGGCAAGCTGACTCGTGATGGCGGTAGTAGTGGATTGACTGGTGGCGTTACCAGACTCAAGTTCTTATCCCAAAGCTTCTCCCCTTTGCTAAGGAGTGCCAGAGAGAGAGACCAGGTACTCTTGTTCAAGAAGACAAGGCTCCTTCACATGCTCACTATGCCCAACGTCTAGTATACGAAAGGGAGAGCGTGGAGAAGCTCCTCTGGTGTGGCAATTCACCAGATCTTAACGCTATTGAGCCAGCCTGGTCATAGTTGAAAAGGAGAACAACAAGGAAAGGTGCTCCAAAAAACAGAGCAGAGGCATCAAAGATATGGCAGGAGGCTTGGAGAGATCTCGCACAACCACAAATACAAGCTTGGATAGAGAGGATTCCATTTCATATTCAAGAAATAATCAAACTTGATGGTGGCAATGAGTATAAGGAGGGTAGGAGGGACAGATCTGTCGAGGTTTCGGCATTACTTCGGTAGTAGTCAAGACATCCCTGTCAGCAAGAACTTTTGAAAGGCACCTCTGTACGGACGCTTGTCTAAGTCGAATCAATAATCACAGGTTGGAAATGTCGCTGTTGACGCGACCGTAGGTCCTTGCATCCGTCGGCTTCGCCTACCGACGAGACTCGCTACACACGTTAGCGTCTGACCTCAATAGCATTCCAGTTGCTGGCGTCATCATCGTGTTTCATGTAGGTTACCGTTTACCAAGCTCAAAAGGGTTTCCGGCTTCCTATTCCGATCAACGGACATCAAACAACAGCCGCTAGAATCTACTTATGTCGTTCAGACTCGTATCGTAAATGGGGACCACGACCACCACCCGTCCTAAAGAAGTATATGCCCTTGAGCACAGAGTCCTTTATGATTCTGAGTGTTGTCGGAGACCTGATTTCTGAAGGCTGAAAGATTCTTTCTCAGGCCGTTCAAGAAACACTGAGTTCACAACGCCATCTTCGATGGCATAGTGGAGGAAGGCAACACCGCTATTGAGTTTTTTGTGAGCCTGTTGAACATTTCTTCCTCTTCATTTTTCCAATCTATTGTAGCATCAACATGTATCTCTTTCAAGTCTGGGCTGGAAACCGTTGGGGATCCCGGCCCGTGTTCAGATGTCAGTTGCTCCTGGGTGGCTTTACTTCAGCCCGTATCTGTGAAAGGAAGGCCTTGCAGAGTCAGGAGTGTCTGACACATTATTAATAGCGACTTACTAGTGACTATCATAGCGCGTATTATGCAGGATCAGAGCTTAGATGTAGAGTATAGGATGGATAGTCGCCATTTTTTGCTAGGCAATTGTGTGTCGTCTGAGTACAAGGTTGATCAAAACGTCTCAAAGAGGTTTAGACAATGGAAAGGACTCAGAAGTTCCATAGAAGCCGCCGAGAATAGATTGATCACAGGTAGTTGAATCGAGATCTTTCGAACCGGGGCCTCCGACAAGCTTTCTCTTGGTGTCGAACGATCTCCCGTTGGAGTAAAGTGGCGATCTTCAGAACCCATGGCCCTAGTTACTATGATCCTTGAGGTCTATTGAGATGACCTGAAAAGTGCTGCAAGTGTTCATGTCCGTAAAAATCCGAACAACAGACTTGTCGTTGGCAATCCGCAAGGCATAGACATGTTATGATATGACTGTGCCAATGCGCGTAAGCTTTTGTAATATAAGAAAAAGGATAATGATACAATCAAGCGGAGCCAAAGGGATATATGGTAAACGAGTCTGTTCTCTAGTTACCCGAAGAGAAAGTGCACCAGGCGCTTAAACACAATATGCCGCCTGGAGGCGCAGTGCAACTACCCGTTATCGATATGATTAGTAAATTAATACACAATATTTCTTGCTGGCTCTGGAAGTCTGGAGTTCGATGTGTAGTGTACTGGATTGCAAAGATGTAGCGAGTATCGGTGCTTGTCTGTAAGTGTAGGGTTTGACGGATACGTCATTCAAACTTCCCCAAACTCGAAGTTTCCCCACATGGCGCTAGTCCGGGTAAATTGCTTAGGTACCCCAAGCCCTCCTCCTCGCCAGCCGTTACATCAGCCACCAAGTTATCTCACGATGGATGTGCTGGCTAATCTCCGGGGCTGTTTTTTGGGGGTCGAATACCACATGATGGAGAAGATAGGGAGTCCGTAGGCGGTGGTGTGGAATTAGCATGGCGGACGAACAAATGGGACCCCGCAAGCTCCTCCCGCAGTCCACCTGCATCTCGGAACGACACCAGCGAGCAAGTTCAATTGCCGAACGTCACGTTTGGTGCTGTAGGATCGCCTATATCCGGTATTGGTAGGTGTATATCGCCCTCTTAGACCCTCACCAGCCTCAGCATTTTCGTCTCTGTTAAGCAGCTTTGTTGACATGGCACTAGAATCCATCCATCCCCTACCGTCCTATGTACCGCTTTTGGCTGTCATCGCCGCAATCTTCTTAGGGATTATTCAAGATATTTGGCTATGGCTACGAATGCCTCCAGGTCCGATGCCGCTTCCGTTCCTCGGCAATAAGCTGCACCTTCCCAAGTCGAAGCCATGGATCAAATTCCAGGAATGGTCCAAGACATATGGTCCCATCTTTACGATATGGATCGGGCGCAAACCAACAGTCGTCATATCGGACCCGAACGTCGCTGCTGAGCTGATGGAGAAGCGGAGTGCAAAGTACTCGTCGCGCCCGCCTATGATAGCAATGGGAGAAATCCTATGGGACAATGCAAGCATACTGGTCCAGCCATATGGCAAGGAATGGAGTGTGAGGAGAAAGCTACTCCACCAGGCCGTGACACCTAGTGCACTGAGATTATACAAGCCCGTACAAACAGCAGAGGCATCGCGACTATGTTGTCAGCTACTGGAAAGCCCGGAGAACTGGGAGAAGCTCCTCGAACGTTTCACCTCCAGCATTGTCTTCTGTGTCGCATATGGCCATCGCATAGACTCTTTGAACGCCGAGGTTATACGCCAACGCTTCGAGTTCATGCATGTAGCGGCATCGCTCAATGTACCTGGCAAATACCTTGTTGAGTCGTTCCCCATCTTGAAGCACGTTCCAGACGTTCTAGCTCCATGGAAAGCAGACATCAAAGCCAAAGGTAGAAAAGAAGCTGCTGCAAATATGGCTCTCGTGGATCTGGTGCGGTCTGACCTTACACGAGCAAAGAGCCAAGGCGATGATATCCCCGACTCGCTGTGCAAGCTATTGTTGGAGTTGCGGGAGAAGGAACATATTCCGTTGTCAGACCGCGACTTTTCTTACATTCCCGCATCGCTCTTCGGCGCAGGATCAGACACTACAGCCTCAACACTCTGCACTGCCTTTCTAGCGCTAGTCACGCATCCAGAGACCCTCCACGCCGCGCACAACGAACTCGACGCCGTCGTCGGCCCCGACCGTAGCCCCGACTTCACTGACGAATCGCATCTTCCGTACATCCGCGCTCTGGTCAAAGAAGTTCTACGTTGGCGTCCCGTCGCCGTTCTCGGAGGTACACCGCACGCCTCCACCGAAGACGACCACTACGAAGGCTACTACATACCCAACGGAACCACCATCCTGGGAAACTCCTGGGCCATCAACCTAAATGAGGAATACTACCCCAACGCCCACCACTTCGACCCCACCCGTTTCCTAGACGACGCACTAGCCCAACGCTCAAAAGCCCCAACGCCGCTGACAGGGAAACCCCATCCTTCGAAATCAGGTCACTCGTCGTTTGGATGGGGTCGACGTATTTGCCCTGGGGCTAACCTAGCGGAGAATAGCCTTTACATTGCACTGGCGAAGACGCTTTGGGCATTCGATATCCAGCCTAGGAAAGGTGTTGACTACGATACTTTTGCGTATACTGAGGGCTTCAATATTCGGCCGCAGAAGTTTGTCTGCGATATCAAGGTTAGGAGTGAGGCACATAGACGGGTTTTGCTGAGTGAGTTGGAAGATGCTGAGGCTGTGTTGGGGAAGTTTACGCCGTTTGAATAGTAAGAAAAGCAACTTGGCTGAGAACTGTCAGCAATAAGAATTCATTTCCTCAAGACTGTCGCCCAAGTCGTTCTTTTTGCCTTGCCAACATCGTTCAAGACTTCCAAGAAAGCCCTCTTAATATCAACCTATCCGACAAAAACAGGCCTTAGTACTGAAATTAATCAAGCCTTTGACAGCATGAAGGATCATGCTTGTCGAACGAATCTATATATCGACCCCGTGTTTCTATGATTAGCGTACCAGAGGAAGTAGCAAGTATTTATTGCAGGGACAGGTGGTCATGCACTGCAGATAGATCTACCGATCTTCCGATCTTCGTGCTGCGTGTGGAGTGATGTTTGCAACGGTTCTTGTAGAGTTTTGTAGGTTCAGAATCTTCTCGTTATATTCTCGTCTCGTGTCGTGTCGTGTCAAGCTGTCGATGTGACTGTGACTATGCTATGGTATGCTATGTGTCCAGACGTAACCAGACGTAGTAGGTAGTTCAGCGAAGGCCTTCGCTTTGCCCAAGGGAATCCTGTATCCCGAACGCCCAAAATCACAAGCCGATATCCAAAGGCCGTGACCAAAAACGCCATCGCAATGCAAAAACAAAAAAGTCCAATGCTGTCCTCATCGTGATGCTCACGCCCCAAAAGCAACAGCAACACCCACCGCCAACACCACCGCCAGTAAACTCCCCCTCTCCTTCGCACCCCCACCCGTACTCTGTCTCAACGGCTGCGCACTAACACTCTTCCTACCCACGGCGCTCCTGACCCCATTAACACGATCCACACTCTCAATCGCCGGTCCCACGTTGAAGAAGTCCACCAGCACAAAGTTCGCCGGCTTGCCATACACACCCGTACACTCGCCCAGCGCATCACCCAAGCTGCCAAAGCCAGTCGCAGCATTCGTAACATTGACATAAGTCTCATTGGGCGACTGAATGCCAAACAACTGAGTACTGTACAAAAAGTGGTTTTGCAAGAACATGCGACCGGAAGACTGAGCAGCAGAGGGCGTACCAAGGTTGGTAGGACGATCTGGGTTACAAGAGTAATTCGAGGGATTCGTATTTTCAAACTCGTTTTCGAACACGAACGTGAATTCATCCATAAGATAAGGATATTGAGTTGATGGTTGCGACAACGACGCCACAAACGTCATGAGTCTTGTATTATTGCCGATGAGGGCGTCGAGCGTAGGCCATGTTTGAGGTAGAGTGGTAGTGGACGGCGGTGTGTAAGCTAGTTTATCGATACCAGAGTCCCGGAATATAGGACCGAGGTCGTTGGGAGTGGCGTTGTCGGAGTTTACAAGAAGCACGGTTACGATGTCGCGCGGGTTGGCGTCCATCCAGGTTTTTATCTCCGTCAGCCAGGAGCCTAGGCTGCCGGCGTCGAGCAGGTTGCAGCTGCTGTGGCAGAGGTGCCATGCTTCGGCGCCGCTTTCGTTGGTCTTGTGGACTTGGGCGGAGAGCAGGCGCACGCCCGAGTCGAGTTGTACGGTGGTGTTGTAGTAGTGGTTTCCGGATGTGGAGAAGGAGGTTTCTTCGTTGCGGAGGAAGGGTGAGTCGTGGGCGCCGAGGTAGGTGATGTTGTTGTATGCGCGATTGCATAGGTCGGGCGAGTTATTGCAGGCGTTTTGTGCGGAGGTGAATGTGGAGAGGAAGGGTAGGAGTGCAGTGGCACGGAGTAGGTTTCTTGAAAACATGGTTGTTGTGTAGTGTGATGTGATGTGATGTGTGGGTAAAGTGTTTTCTTTTTCGTGACGTTGCCGTTCAGTCAAGGACTGTTGTAGTCGTAATCGTTACTGTCGTGAAGTTCGTCTACCAGAGGAAATAAAAAAGACCAAGCAAGCCACAGTCTTTCTATCCAAAACGTCGAGATTATGGTTTGTGATATAGTAGAATTACCAAGAAAAACTGCAAAGAATAAAAGCACTGTAAACATTCTTAACAGGCTGGGAGCCACCTGGACTATTATACTACCACGCAACACGTCTCAGCCTTGTGTCTCCCCAAGCCGGCATATCGTAATCAATGGCAGTAAGCTGGGCAAAAAGTGGCGCCAGGACGCCTCCACAGTGTGCCCAGTTCGCCCTTTGTGCGTGCTGGGAGTGGAGCCTGCAAATGGGTCTCGTTCAGCACAGCCCACCAGGCCGCGCAGCAAAGAGTAGAAGCGCAAAGAGTTTCAGGTGTCGTCAGCACCCCGGCTGAGGCAAAGCTGCCCAGACGCCACCGAAACAAGGGCTGCTGCACAACTGATGAATAGCCTGAAGACTGGCATCTAAGAGGGCTGAATGTTTTTTAACGAGTCGTCTCCAAGAACCCCCAAGACACGACTGAGTGACGCGTCTAGCGGCGGGATCTTGCATGGTGATGTCAGGTGGTCGATAGTCTTGTGGACCCTGTGTGGTTGCTGAGCCGCGAAGGACGTCTATGTTTAGGAGTGGCGGCGCGACGGACGGCTTGGCCTGTGCGTACATCGTACATCTCGGCTGGGTTGGCTCCCGGCAGCGGTAGCGGCGATCTTCCACATGTCAGCCCTGTCGCCTACATGACTGTTAACGGGGACGGAACTGTAACATGGATCAAATGCCATTGTACCTACATGCCGTTATGAAGCATGTAGCGCCTTTTGTCATCCCTCAACGGGAGGGAGCAAAAGAAGTCCGAGGCTGCAAAGACTGCCCAATGTTCTGATCGGCGTTTCTCCAGCCACAAATTACCATCAGGTCCAAGGTTGCCCTACCAACCTCACAAAACAGAGATCGACAAATCATCATCGTCAGCCTCCTTACCCACATATCCTCCCCATCTTCCACGCGTCTTCCTCCACAGTTATTGCAAAACCCCAGCCAACAATCAGACCACACGCACAACCTCAACAGCCATCCCATATCCTCGCCATGGCAACCCTCCGCGCACCCTCGTCCCTCCCCACGACCGCCGCCTCACCATCCCTCACACCGCCCCTCCTATCATGGCTGTCCGGCGTCTGGAACGTGACGCACTCGACGCTCCCCATGTGGAAAAAGTCGCGCAACGTGCAAATCACGTACAACGCCATACCCTCGACGTCACCTGCGCAAATCGACGACCTAGTCACGTATCAGAATTTGACTTCTGACAAGGTCAAAACTGTAAAGGGCGTTGATAAGCCGTTCGAAGTGCCGAACACCGAGGCTGCGGGAGAGGCTGACGGGAGTGAGAAGGCGAGCTTGGGCTACAACTGGAGGGGCAAGGGCTTGCTCATGATTGCGACGAGCAAGTGGGAGATTCTGGGTTATGGCGATGAGGAAGGCACGGGGAATAGCTGGGTTGTGACATATTTTGCCAAGACCTTGTTTACGCCCGCCGGTATAGACTTTTATTCGCGCAAAGGTGCTTTGGCGCCGCAGACGATTGAAGACATCAAGACCGGACTCAAGGGCCTGGGTGGTGACCTTGCCAACTTGGCGGAGAACATTTTTGAGGTCAAGATGGATGAGGCTAGGACGGGATGAACGTACCAGAACGGACATGGTACAAGAAACACCTGAAATAAGTTTGCACGTTGAGCGAGATATACCCTGGGACATGGTTTTTATTGGAGTTGACTTCGAATGGTTCGCCAATCTACCTTGTATTCGTTGCTTAACGCCACCATTTGATCTCCCCAAGTTCCAACCTTATATCATTTCATGTGATGGACTCTACTCATCACCCACCTTGCACCCATCGCCCGACTAGTCAAGGAGATTGATGTAGGTGCTCTTAGCGACGTTCGACACCGCAGGATCCGCAGACGAGCGACGCACATCGTGACGTTCCTGTACGGGCAGAGGCTCGAAGTCGAGATCAAGCAGCAAGTTGGTGTTCTTGGATACAGTTGCCTTCTTCTCCGGAGATATTTGAATAAGCTGTTCGCCTGCAGAAGAAGGTCCAGCTGCTGGGGTAGAAGACCGAATCTGTGCACGGTAACGCGCTTCTTGCTCTTTCCTCATCTCGAAGACTCGCTGATCATCTTCTTGAGCACCTCCGTTTACGTACGGCTCCCATTGCTCTGTGACACGGTCTACCAGTGGTCCAGATGCCATGCGCGGCGTGCGTGCATCCGTGACGGGCGCAGATGGTCCGGGCCTCAAAACCATGTCTTCGAGCACAGCATTACGCGTATTAGAGCGCGGGGCGCGAAACGATGTCGCTCCATTCTTTGCTGGTTTCAGAGTTGACTTCACGCCGCCGCTGCGACGCTCGCAGACTGTGCATTTACATGGGTCACAACATTCCGCTATAAAATATCAGCAAAGTCATCATCTGTGCTTAGCCCAACTGGATACGTACCAACACAAGGATGACCGCAAGCTTCCACACGCTTGGAGCATTTTTGTGTACAGTTGATCATGTCATGCTCAAACCTAGCATGACGTTAGCTTCGTAGCTCAAAAGTATCTGATGAGCAAACTTACGGATGGCACGTAAATGGACACCGATGTCCGCACGGAAGCGATCCTTCACACTTCTTGTCACAGCCACCTTTGATAAGGTCGAAGTCTGATGGATATTCACACCATATCTTTTGTCCGTGGTTGCTGCATACGAGCGGCAACCGGTACCCTAGGCGTCTCTCTTGGCCCGTCGTCACTGGAGACTTCTTGTTTCTGTACATGATGTCAACGACGGAGGCCCAAGTGCCGCTCTCGCATGCAAGAAGCTCTGCGTTTCCGAAGATGTAGAAGCCTCGTTTGGCTCGAGAAAGGGCCACACAGGCGCGATTTTCAGAACTCAGAAAGCCAATCGAATGGTTGCGGTTCGAGCGTACCAAAGAAAGCAGCACAATGTCGTTTTCTTCTCCCTGATAGCTGTCGACCGTAACGACCTGTATACCCGCGACTGTTCGCAAATCGGGCAGCTTCCTCAGCTCCCGGTTTATGTGTTTGCGCTGACCGTTGTAGAATGTCAGAACTGTGATCTTGGTCGCATCGACACCGTTCAGCACCAAGTAGTTGAGAAATTGAACTAGCATCTGAGCCTCCATAGTGTTCACTGCCGACATGTTGGCGTCCCGGGACTCTGGCCATTCGTGACAGAAGAAGAAGCTGTTGTTTCCACCCATACCTTCGACAGGTGGGCGATTGCTAACATCCTTCACCATCTTATGATCCTTCAATGTATCCTCATAGATCGGGTACAAGAGACGACGTATCTCGGGTATCATACGGCGCTGTCGTGTCAACGTATCAAAGGCAACGTCGTTCGAGACAAGGCGCTCGAAAAGTGATAAGTTCAAGAAGTACGGCTCGTCTTCAAAGGCGCGCACTTGAGTGTGCGGTCGCAGCTGCTGATGGTCGCCAACCAAGACAAGATGCTCGAGAGTAGGAAGGCAAGCGACAGTAATCGGTGCTTCAAGAGTCTCGGCTGCTTCCTCCACAACACAGATACGCGGGCGAAGACCTGAGAGCAAAGCGCGGTATTTTGCAAGACCGGTAGTTGTGCAGCCAATGATGCGTGCCTTGCGCAAAACGCAAACATCTTCTTCCCACTGGCCAACCTTGCGCTGGTCAACGGTATCTTGGTACTGCTTGCAGATCCCGCGGACTGCAGCCGTAATTTTCTTCTTGACTTCCCGCTTGAAATAGTTGTATACGGCACCGCGGCTGACTACTGGAATCGTGTACATATCGTCACTCTTGCGCAACATGTCTTGTATGTCAGCGTTGCTCAAACCTTTGCCGGTACCTCTGTAGTTGTCGCTGAGGAGGGTGACCTGACCGCGAAGCGCCTCGATGTCGTCGTCGTCCTGTGCAACTGCTTCTGCTTCCAGCTCCTTGAGTTGTTCCACTTCGAAGTCCTCCTCCTCCTCATAGCCCCAATCGAACTGATCCGGTCCGATGGGTCGATCACAAGGTGCTATGCATCTGCCTAGCCATTGCTCCATCAGGATTCCAGGGTTTTCGGTAGCAGATATACCCATGGTGCACTGTGACTCCATCTCGAGCGATGCTGCTTGCTCCTCCGTAATTAGATTGAGACTCAACAAGAGCTTATGATCAAGTGGGCCCTTGTTTGCCTCTAGCGGTGCGAGCAGCAGCTGACATTGAGCTGTAAGCTTCCTCATGGCTATATTAGCTTGCACCTTCAGACTGCCCGGCTGCTTTTGCTGAGATATTGCCGAGCGGACCTCGAACAGTGTTCGCTTCTTGATTTCTTTGTCCTTGCTTCTTCCTCCCAGTCGGATGTAGTTTGGCTCGAACTGTGATGTATGGCGAAGCAGCTGATCCAGTGCGTGGTTTGTTTGAGCCGTCACGATGACAGGCGAATCCTCTTTGCGTAAGTTGTCCCGGATAATCTGCAGCGCAACAACAGACACGAATGTCTTTCCGGTTCCAGGGGGGCCTTGGACGATGGCCAACTCGCTTGTCAACATACGCTTCAGAGCTTTGCTCTGCGATCGGTCGAGCGAGTGCGAGGACATGGTTGGCCAGTCCTCCAAGACGTTCACATTCTCATATTCTGCGCTTTCCTCCATGCTCACGAGGGAGCTCAGATTGACATACGGGTTGTGTTTGATATATGCCGGGGGCTCAACCTCCTTCTGAGCATACACGAGATACTTGGACAGTGGAAATGTCTCTCGCATCATGTGCTGAAGAGCTAATAGCGTATGTCGGCTCGCCTCGAAGAAGCTTGTGCGACACTCCACCATCATATATTTGCGCATGGGATCAATTTCTTGGTCCTCGGGACGAGCAAAGAAGAGATCAATCTCGGGTGGATTTTGCTCAAGCGCGGATAGAGGGCGTGCTGCAACGATGGCAAGAGCGCACTGGGTCTGAAAGGCATTATCGGTAGGCGATAGCGCGACGAGTGTGCCTGTGACTAATCTCTTCGACTGCTCCCATCGAACGTGCTTTTTGACGCGGCCAAGCGAGAACGCGACGCGTGTTGCCAGGCCTCGCGGCGAGAAAACAACCGAGGTGATGTATACTGGATCGTATACGCCGATGCCTTGGTTGTTGTATTCGGCCTCGTCCTTGAATGGGTCTGCGCGGAACTCATCTAGAGCCTCTCGCAGTGGACGGATCGCATCTTCGCGTAGAAGCTCGTATGTTGTTCTGAGGTAGTCTTCTTTGTTCTCGTAAGCACCTTCGATCTTGTGCGGGCGGATATTCTCTTCAATCTCGATCAGATTTTGCTCGCTGTTGCTAAAGTCGGACTTTACACATAAGACTTCTGAAGATGTCGGGATCTCGGGTTTTCTAAGCCAAGCACCACTAATGACAGGCTTCTTTGCCAGTTGTAGATAGTCGCGGATGTCCTGGTTTGGGCGCACAGGTTCAGACGCAGGGACATTGTCGTTGGGAACTGAACTGCCCGTGAAGGGAGTGGCGCGACAGAATCGCTCGCTCAGGTCTGCATTGACCTCACCACCTACTATATCATTAGAACTGCGCATATTGAGGGTATCCAGAAATAAGCTGTGTCCAGTGCTTGTCAACGTATTGCATGAGGTATTTGCAGCGTCGGTGGCAGCGGAGGAGCTCCTTTCATGCCGATAGAGGGCAGGGCTAACCATGATGCTCGGTGTCTTGCAAGCTTGCGTACAAGTTACGAGATGTCGCTTGTGGCCTAACTCGCGGGTCTCTGGAGGCAGCCGTGCCGTTGCTGCGACCGCCCGATCGATTGGCCTTGTTTGACCTTCGACCGCGACCCATGAAAATTGGCTCACAGTTGTCTGATTGCTGAGACAAAGTGAGTGTGTTAGTGTGGAACAAGCAGAGATAGACGATATCCTTAAAGAATGTCGAAGCTGTTGTCGTGGTTGTTCAGCGCGACACTGGTTGTCGTGGTCAAGCATAAACAAGCGGTCACACAAGCTACGGGCTAGGGCAAGTGCGGGCCAACAACAAACGGGCCAATGGACAATCGGAGTAAGTAAGCATGAATTGGACGGAAACTTCCAAGACAGTCATGATTGTGATAGACAGCATGCAAGTATTTGTTGATGCAGAAACATTGCCGTGCAAGCCCGTACAAGCAGCCGACAGGACAAGAAGCCATACATAGGCGACAATAGCGAAATGACATGCAGAAGGGAAAATAGCTGTAGGGATACATTGAGATGAGATAAGAGACACTGGGTTTGGACAAACAACTCGTTCATGTCTGAGCGAGCCGTAACAGCATAATGTTAGCGTTCAAAGCAAGTGTGCCGTGTCATCAGGTAATATAAAATCAACAGTAGCGGCGAGTAAAAGCAGAGGGGGACTAATTCTAAGACTTGAATGAAGACTGGACATATGTAAGAGATTAGTTACACGTACTGCTTGTTGCATTTAAACACACAAACACATGGATGCAAGCTCCAGAGGAAGGAGCAGAAGACATGTCGTGTCTCAGACCAAGACAACGATGTTCTACATATTTAGTGTTGATTCACTACGGTGGCTGCACACGAGATGTTCTCCGCATCTATACATCAATTGTATTCCCCATATCATACGATCTCAGTCTACCCAGGGAGATGTCGTGCAGGCAACTACCTAGGTACTCATGTGGATACGTGTAGTTGGCTCGGGAAGTGTGGATCTAACTATTCTTAGCGTATTCCAATAGTCGCATGTTACATGTTACAATCCAGGTAGAAACGTGAAGAAGGTACTAGGCTGTCTTTGCAGCATGGTTCGGTACTTGCCAACCCTGGGCGATTGCGCCATCCGCACCCCGAGTCTTCCTTCCCTCCACACTTGACTTGCGGTAGATAGTACGACTCGGAGGGTTTTACTGCGGGGCGTGCTTTGTTGGTTTTCTCAGAGCCAGTCCGTGCCGGGAAAATTGCAGTCTGAGGGAATATGCCCAACGACGTCATCATGCAGGGAAGACTGGGCGAGGTAAAGCGCACCGGGGGTGGCCGGTCTGGAAATCAAGTCAACGGCCTTGTAGGTAGCTAGGTATACCATGGCTGTCATATACTGTGCAATGTGAAAAGGAAGTCCCAAGAGACGGAAGTCGCGCCGAGGAAGCAAAACTTGATATGTAGTTGCAAAGCGGGCCGTCTCGCACATGGCATGGCGAACAGTTGGGCTCGAAGATCTGGTGAGGAGACCAACAGCAGAGCCTCGAGGCTGCAGATCAGGCCGCTGTCTCTCCAGTCAGTAGAGTTGGGCCCATTTTTCCACAGTGGTAGTCTACCCGAACCCGTCGTTTGGTCAGGTAGCGACTACTGTACGTGTAATGACTGTAGTGCGTGCGTAGTGGCTGAAGCTACCGAGTTTCTATGCTACAACACAACACACGTAGAGTTGCAGCCTGGGAAAAGAACAATTAAGCTTCGAGTGACATGCTGTGGCATGAGGGCTTGCAGAGTCAGTGGTTCTAGCCCCACGATGCGCCCGTGAAAGTGGTGCTGAGCGTGACAAATGACACATGACAAAAACTCAGGTCGGGACGACACATGTCTGCCCTCTGTGACGGGTGCAGCAAGCAAAACGCTCCTGTTCACGTTCACCCCCGGCGATTTAGGGCCTGGCAGCTTCTGCGAACTGGGCCAAAAGGCGCAGCGGCTTCTGCGGCCATTGGGCAGGAGGCCTCCTGGTGATCTGGGTCGTGGTTCTAGTGCAGCGGTGCAGCATGCAACTACGTCATGGCAAAAGCGCGAGACTGTGCCCGACCTTGGTCTTGCTACCCACCCCACTACACACACCGGGCATTCGACTGGGCGGGCCTTGTTGATAACGTCAGGCCACACGGCACAGAGTTATTCTTCTTTTACCCTCAGTTACCCTCCTCCTCCCTTCTTCCACTACTGCTTGCCCGTGCCCCTTCCTTCACCCACCCGCCATATCTGCTGAGCCTTCTGCTGAGAGCGGTACATTAATCACCACCACTACTCTCCCCAGCACGCCTTTACTTGTTGCTGTCAGCACAATGTCGTCGCGCGCTATCCACTGCTGAGCTCTATGAGGAGCGTGAGCGCGATTTCTATCGCAACGGAAACCGCAGCGAGCGCAACTACGAGGAACTTGACCTCGAGCTGCGCCGTGGCTCTGGTCCGGATCCTCGCCGCAGCGCCCCAGACTTCTTCCGCGAGGACTACAGCCGCCCAACCGCTGGAGCGCTTGCACTGCGGCCCCGCGACGAAGACAACTTGTCCAGGGCAGGACCCCGCAGTAGCCGCACTTTCGACGATGACGTACGCTCCGTTCGCAGCCGACCCCCACCCCCACCCCCTGCGTCCACTGTCCGGGATGTAGAGCGCGACGACATCACAATTAGACGTCGTGAGCAGTCGCGAGGCCCTCCTGCTCGTGAAGTCGAGCGCGAACGCGAAGACATCATCTTCCGTCGTGGTGATGGCCCCCCGGTCCGATCAGTCAGCCGACCCGCCCCTCGTCAGGTGGACGACGACGACGTACGCTTCCGGGGTCGTGGAGGCGACATCGACTTCCACGCTTCTCGCAGTGAGGTCAGCCGCCACGGTAGGGACGTGTCTGCTGAGAGGGGCTCAATCCGCTTCCAAGAGCACGACGGCAACTTTGAACTTCATGCAAAGCGCCGAGAATACAGCCGCGATGGCAGAGACTCGAGCAGAGAAAGGAGTTCCCTGACGATTAGAGGTCGTGACAGGAGCCTTCCACCCCCATCCCGTCACCGCGGAGACCTGGTAGCCAGGGAGCGTGAGGAGTTTGTCATCCGCCGTCCGCGCGCCGAGTCCCCGCCCCAGAACAACCGCGAAGTCGTAAGAGACGAAATCATCATCAGACGCAAGGAGGAGCGAGCCCCTTCTCCCTCTCCATCTCCATCCCCGCCGCCTCCACCACCGCCGCAGGTGCCAGAACCAGAAATCCGCCCTCCTATTATCCAGGAGATCATCACCCACCACAGGCACATCGATCATGGTGAGTCCCGTCACTGACCAAATTCAAGCTCAATTCAATCCTAACTGTTGTGCAGGTGTCGTTAGGGCCCGTACTCCCACCCCGCCTCCCCCACCAGCGCCACCATCTCCTCCCCCGCCACTAAATGAAACTCTCGAAATTGAGATCAACCGCAGAGAGTAAGTTTGCGCACCTCATGCTATGAGCCTCCGCTAATAACTCTAGAAGTCACAGCCGTGGACGTGGAAGAAGCAATTTCGATGAACTCGATATTGATATCAACTTCAACCGTGACCAGGGATCGGTGAAGCACCGGAAGAAGGACATGTGGACCGAGATCACAAAGGACCTGGTAATCCGCGAAGCCATTGACTCGATGGGCTACGCATGTGAAGAGACAGATGACTTTTTCTACGTGATGGAGTATCTGCAATACGTAAGTTGCCCAAGCTACGTCCGCTAGGCAGTGTACTAACTATCCACAGGAGGATGTATTGCACCTTGTGGAGATCTCTGATGAGATTCGCCGAAAGCGCAAGAGCCGAATCCGGGAGATTGAGGTTGAGCGCAAGTCGATCCATAACTCTCGCCCCCAATCAGCTTACGATGACCGTTACTACGAGCACGAAGTATCTTTCGACAGCCGTCGCAGTCGGTACCGTTAGTGCGCTTTAAGCAACCTTTTCGCCCGGCTTCGTTTGACGCTGGAGTTACACATCAATACTGGAGAGACAGAGAGTCCCGCATTGATGCTGCGTCTGCGACAACCCAGTGCGTTTGTCTCGGCGAGCGAATCCTTCAATCCGACCAGCGCACTTTGCAATGTCTCTGCATGTCCGACAAACGTTTACCGTCTTCCAGCGCGCTTGTCGGGAAAAGTCTCAATTTGACACCAAACGACTCAGAAGATTTCTACATTCTACAACGAGGACACGGCCTGTATGCACTAATGAATATGATGATTACGACTAGCATACCCCCGAGGGAGGACGAAAGAGGTGGTTTGTGTTTTCTTTGAGTTGCCTTTGAATTCTCGGTGGAACACGATTCTTAAAGGGATCGATGGGATCTCGATCCGAGTGCGATGGTGGCGTGGGGAGGGAGGTACATGATTCTTTTTCTTTACTTTTTTTCCACAATCGAATACAATCAATTATTGGCGTTACCGTGCGAAAATCTATGCCGTGTGTATGTGTTTTCCTGTTTTGGTATATAACTATCAATAGAAAAAGGCTGTGAACTTATGATGACGTTTGTTGGGTGATGGTGGGGTTTGCAAACTGCTTTTGGTGTGGGGGCAGTGTGCATGCAGCGAACGCGAAGCAAGGGTGGCACCAAAGACCAAAGTCTCAACGATCAGACCACAAGTTCATTGGCATCACTCCCTTTTTTGGCTCATTTTACCGCCCAGCCCCAGCCCCAGCCCATTATGCGCTTTCGGCATATACTCCAGTTGCAGTGCAGTCCAGCCCAGCCACGCCGCAGCGCAGTCCCGCGACCGGAACACGATAGTCTCCGGTTGGTCTATGTGGGCTGGAATTGGTTTGGGGCTGAGAAAAGGGCAAAGCGCATTACACACATGGGGCGCATCCTGTGCCCAAAAATACACTCGCTCTCTTGAAGCGAACGCGAACAAAAGTCCCGCTTACCCCGCTTGGCATGTTCCCCCTGGCTTGTCACTGGATTGGACTTTGCATTGCATCTGTCAGACTGTCGGACTGGGGGGGGGGGCAATCATGCAAATGATTCGGGGGCGAAAGATGAAACGTAGTGTGCGAGTGGTGTTAAGCGCCCTTGGGTTACGGTCGCTTGACTGGCTAGACAGCAAAGTATTGGTAACGTACAGTAGGTAGGTAAATGGGGAGATGCGAAGGGAAATAGGAAAGGCGTAATGGGGGCAAGCGCCCGCCCCGCTTGTCGTTTGTTAGCGAGCGAAGTTGCTAGGTAGAGGATGTGAGTCGGCGTTTTGTTTCGTGTCGTTCGGGGAGGTGAGAAGTGAGGTGAGTGGCTTTGATGGGGCGACCGGCCCTGCTGTTACTAGGGTGCTGAGATGTGTGTGTGGATGGGTGGGTTTGGTTATAAGGTTAGGATGCTGCGCGTCAGATGGCGAGGGAGGCGGTTGCGTGTGGGTAATACAGTTTTAAACTCGATAACGTTGTACCCTCTTTTGGAGCCTCTTTTTTTAGGCTTTCTCGCTTCTCGCTTCTAGTCTTGTCTGAGATTCTGTTTTCGTTGCTTTTGTGTTGGTTTTCCCTGTTTTTCTGCTTTCCTGATTTCCTCTGGCTGGGTTTTGAGGTCGTACGCAATCTGGGGTGAAAGCCACTCCCGTCCTGCTTACTTTCAAATCTTGATTCCTTTCCGCTCTCAACTCACGGCGAGAAATTGGTTTACTATATGCGCTGAGTCTACCTGTTGTTTGCTTTCATTTTACAAACCATGAGCTTGCTGCGACAAAGAGTTGGGGGTCTGGTTGCGCTGCTAGGATGTAAGATTTCAGGAGAATATACTGTACTTGCTTTTTGTTTGAACTGACGGTTTCAACAGTCTTCGCAACGCTCGTCAGTGCACAGAATATCACTACCAACAACACTGCCGCATCGACTTTTTACCTTGCCAAGACGGAGACGCAGTTCTCCGTTAACGTTGCTGATGACTCGGATGATGTCTTCATTTACTTTGCCAGTCCAGCGTATTCATGGGTTGGGGTGGGGTTTGGAGGGAAGATGGAGGATAGTTTGATGGTGATCATGTATCAGAATGCTGACGGTAACAGTATGTCATTTAACAGGAACTTCAGGAGAGAAACGCATCATTAACATTCCACCAGACGTAACAGTGTCGCCACGAATCGGCTCAAAAGCCTCAGAACCATCTTTCAACTCCTCAATCAACTTGACTATTCTGCCTGGTACAACCGTCACCAACGACTCCATGCTCGTCCTCCGCGCAAAGTGCTCAAACTGCCGCTCCTATATCGACACAGAGTCCACAGCGCAGCCCATGATCTATGCATTCGGAAAAGCTCAAAACCTCAGGTCCAACTCGCCTTCAGCCCATCTCCAGCGACACATCCAATACGGCCATTTTACCATGGATATGACAGCTGCCACGGGCGCAGGTGGCGTACCAGCACAAAGCAACGCGCTCAACGGCGTAGGCGCAATGAGCGGCATGGTTCGTGACCACGACCGCGCCAATCTCGCACACACCATCCTAGGCTGCTTGGCTATATTTTTGCTTTGGCCGCTCAACGTGCTGGTGGTGGCGTTTTTCAAAAACATCAAGATTCACATTGTGCTCAGTGTGCTTATTGTGGTTTTTCTGCTCGTCAGTTTTGTGCTGGGTGGTGTGACTAGCAGTCAGTATACGAATGTAAGTGGGAAGAACAAACTTCATGTATCCCTCTTCCTCCATCTCGAGGCGAACCATCTCTCTCTCAAAAACAAAACAAAAAATGCAGATAACTAACAAAACTCCCCACAGTCCAAAGCCTTCAACACCCCCCACCAAATCTTCGCCATCCTATCCCTAATCCCCCTCCTCGGAACCACCCTCCTCCCCACCCTCACTCGCCTCTCCCCCAAGAACCTGCGCCCTCTCCACGCCCCCCTCGCATCCGCCTCTTTCCTCCTACTCGTCCTAACCGGCGGCCTCGGTCTCCACCTCTCCGCGCAACCCACCGCCATAATCCTCGTCTACACCGCCATATCCCTCGCCGTCGCCGTCTTCCTCTTCATCCTCCAATCCTGCATCCGCAAGCGGGGTTCCGCCCACGCCCGCGCGCTACGCCGTCGAAAACCCGAGCTGAGCACCGAAAGCGACCGCGTAGTTATGCTGGGTGCGATGGAAGAGCGCGGTGGTGGTGCAAGTGGGCATGCGAGCGCGGCTAGTTTGAGTAAACCGGCGGCGTTCTTTGGAGCGCCTGTTTCGTATAGTTATAGTGTTGTTAGTCATGCGGGTCAGGACCAAAGTGCGGAGTTTGGGGCGCATGGGCAGAGGAGTCCAAAAGGCTCCTCGCATCATCATTATGGGGGTGGGACTATGCCTGGTCCGCAGTATTTGCTTAATATGCATCCTGGGGTGCCGGTGCAGGTTAGTCGGATGTGAGAAAGAGATGGACAAGGTTGGGCGGGATTTGGGTCATGATGTTATGATTAGCATTGGTGTTTTGAGGAGTTTGACTGTGCTGGGTTTTATTGTGTTTGTGTTGGAGATTGCCTTTGAGATTCGAGAGATACCAGAGATACCATGAGTGCATTGGGTTGGAGTTTGGGGGATATTGACAGCAATGTATGAGCAAAGACTTGATATGAAGCTATGTCGTTGGCCTTGTTACGCCGCATGTTCATGTCCAAGCAGAGCCTGAATAGAGCTACTATGTCTTTGGCACTTGGGCCCAACCGGGGATCTTCTTTCGAAGATAAACGGTTTGCAACGTATCCTCCTCCGTGAATAGTACGCGACTTTCGATCCCCTTATTGCGCAGGGCCCCGTAAGTCTCTCGATTGGTCGTTGTGAAAACGACCCCCGCGTTTGAGATACGCGCATACTCTGGTCTGGGTGGCGAGATTTGTACGAGGAAGATACCAGGGCGACATCGTTTAAAGGCTGGATCAGGTCCATCGTACTGGCATCCGAGCATGGCTACAAACGTCTTCCCTTGATAATCATGTCCCCATATAGTCCCATACCACGGATGGTCATAACGCTTCAAACGCAGCTTGATGTGAACGCCCAGATTTGTGAGAGCATACGACTCCCTTGCATAATCTTCATCGAGCCTACGCTTGTTCCATATGCGTGAGGTGTCAAACTGTCGAGGCCAGGCTGCGAATATTGAGGACAACTCCGGTGCAGGCCGGGAGCGGTCATCGGGGCGCCGCAAAGTATTCCAGACGAAAAGGCTATTGTCCGCGCTATCCTTCATGATCTCCTCTTGAAGTCGAACAAAGGCCTTGTCTCCTTCGCCATAGAGAAGTGGCATGTTGACATCAAAGATTCCCATCAAGGAGTAGGCCATATCTTCAGGTCGCGTGGTTTTACGGTGAGTCATCCAGCTCATCCGCTTGGCTATGCTTTCGTCCTCCATATTGCCAGTCCGAAGCACATCTGCGCTAATGCCGGTGATACCTTCTATGGTCCTGCACAACTGCATCTTGGTACCAATGTACCTCCAGGTATCATCATAAAATCGGATCTTGTTTGGTGCAAGGAGCTCCTGTAGCGTCCACCCGCGCTTGAACCATCGCGACTTAGCCACCAACGTCCTATTCATCTCTGCGTACTTCTGCGAATCTTCGTCCTCGGTTGGATGGGAATACCCAATTACGTCGGCAAGATACGCATAGCACACCCATGCCTCTTTGTACCAGCGAAACATACTGTTGATTGCTTCGCTCAGCTCTGAAGAAGACGTCTTGTCGATGCAACAAGTATCCACCCAGACGTATTTTAGATTATCTTTCACCGCTTGTTCGCATGCCTTTTTGATTTTCCAGTAGCCGGATCCGATTTCCATAGAGGTGTCTTTAGCTCCCAAGGATGGATCTGCAAACTCCTGCAGACTAACTTCGGTCGGGCCCCATGTGTGCGATAGAATGGCATATGCCGGTACGTCATCGTCAAACACAGCGGTACGAAGTTTAAGTGAAGCAGCCTCGATCAATCTCATTGTTTCGAATAGCACTATGCGCACGATAGCAGTCTAGCTATGGCATAAGGCAGTCGTCTGGTGGGGTTTCGATCGATTCTCCAGGCGGGGGCTGCCTAGTCAGCTCGCTGTGAGATCCCGGGTTGTCATTCAGGCGCCACATGTTCCAGAACAGGAATGTCGGCCTATCCCGTTACAGCTGACACAGTAAGGCATACCAAACGATGCTATTGCCTGTACAGAGAGAAGTGAGATGCAACAAACGAAATCGATTCTGTTTTGTACTTGCAGACACCGGAGAACAATGCCGCCTGAAGCTTTTGACATTGTTATATCATGGAACCGTGTCAATAGCAACAATATTTGGTGCAACGGGCGCATATAGGGGTATAAGGCTTTGAGTGTAAAACTTAATGTTTACTTAACTATGTGTTTCTTGAACATTCGTTGACGAGAATAGACACGAGATCTCCCGCAAAAGGTCCGAGTGTGCCCCCTCATGTCAGACTCGGGGTCAGACGTTCGCGACAGCTACCTGCGCCTGCTGGAGCAATGCGAAAGATGCGCAGACGTTACATGGCAAAAAAAATGTGTGTGCTTTGAAGAGTATGGTAGTGATGTCCCGTTGAATCAACGCGCAAATCTCCGTCTGGTTCATCGAGCGTTTCATACGCCGCACGATGCATTGATGGTTCAGGGTCCAACCACGCACACGTGACAGATGACGCGGCGGCAATCGTATTAGTCCAGGCTGAGGCACTGCCTCTTTGTTTCCAGACTTCCCTCTCACTTTGTTTCTACCACATCTCTTCGTCTTTCATCGACCTGATTTCGACCTGTTTTTCCCTGCACACTCTCTCTATCATGTCTCTTACCAAGCTGGGCGTTTTCGCAAACCTGGCGCTGGCCGCCAGCGCCATGCTTATCCCCTCGACCATGACTGCGGAGGATCTTGGCGATGATCATGCTTTCGAAACACTTGCCATCAACCCACCGCAGCGGTCCGTAGCGTTAGAGTGTCCTGGCTGTGCTTTTGCGACTCGAGAAGGAGACTCTCTCAAGTGGAAGGCTAACGCTGGCAATGCATTCGTAAGTTCTCCCTATATACACTACAGCCGCGTATGCTAACATGTGCAGCGCCTGGATTTTGACGTCGGAGCTGATCAACATTCTATTAAACTCGACAACTACCAACTTTTCCCGCCTTCGTTCCGCCTTCCTTTCCAGCCCTATCACGTTACTCAAGTCGGCCCTGGCTCCGAAGAGGGTCTGCGCCTGAGTGTCACCGGCTATGAGTTCCGCTTCGACGGTTCAGAGACCATCTCGGAAGCGGGTACTGAGCTCCTCCCCATGTTGTTCCAAATCACATCCGTTGAGGGCACACCTGTCAACCCTCCAGCGCTCCAGATCAATGTGCTAAAGGACTTGGACGGCCGTCTCATGATTGCATCCTTCAACGAGGCTCAGATTCAGCCTAGCCAGGCCACACCAACGGAAAATAACAAGGAGTGCAAGGAGTGGCCGCTCTACTGCAAATGGAAGAGCATTATGGAGGACCGCATCCAGCAGCTCAAGCACATGGGTAGGCCCAAGCCCGGCTGCCACAAGCGACCACACCATCCCGCACCTCATCCCGGCAAGCCCATGGAGCACGATTCCCCTGTTGGCAAGCCGCCGCACCGATTCTCCCGCCCCGGTAAGCCTTACCACGGGGGTCAGAGCCATCACGGTCATGTCCACTTCTCCACGGCCGCTCACCGTGCCTTCTTCACCGTCTTCGTTCCCATTCTCATCGGTATCTTCGCCGGTACTCTCACATACCTCGTCGGCATGGCTCTGGGATGCCTCATCGCTATTACTGTTGCCAAGGTCCGCGGTCAAAGCTACCAGCCTGTCGCCCTTGACGAGGAGTATGCTGAAGATGTCGAGGCAGCAGAAGACAGCGACGAGAAGGAGCCGCTTCCAGTCTACGAGGCTCCCCCAGTCTACGAAGAGGCTGCTGTCAAGGACGATGAGACAAAGTAGAGTGTATTGTAAATTGTAGTGTGAAGATGATTTCCTTAGAGTTGCCAGTTAGATTACAACATGACTTTTGTTCATAGTTTAAGCAGTCGTTGAGATGGCTAGCACGTAAGATGTATTTTTTATGTAGATAACATGACCAAACTGATTTGATACCCCTTAAGATGATCAATCTTTCGCTGTGCAGACTGAATTGTGACTTGGCGGCTGTTTGACATTGCTGTCATCTGAAAAGCAAAAGCTTAGCGGTAACAAGCTTTTCTTCTTTTCTCATACGCTTCCTAGGCTTTAAGTAGCAGTATTCGTCAATCCTGATGTATAGACTTCAATGAATAGCCACATTGAACAGCCGGCAATAGCATGTAGGACAAAGCAGGTGGTCCCTCCCTGAAGATTTGAATAATCAATCATTCCCATATCGATAGCGAGAGTGATTTACATCATGGATGAAGCGACAGTAGTCGATATGAGTTGTCAGACTACGCAAAAGGCCATGTTGCGGTGAACGCGTCGTAAAGGCGGGGCGGGAGTGTTGGGCAGTTCGATTCGCGATGCCGAGTATATGGAATGATTTGATTATATGAATCCTTGGGATATACATTTAACCCTCTGAAAGTCAATAAGCGCAACGCACAGCATGCCAGCGCCACTGACGAGCATGCACGCGAAAGTTGACGTTGGTGTTCTGGTCGCGTAGGATTCCAAAGTTCCGCGCACGGGCCACGGCTGACACAGTCGCAATTGCCCGCAGCCCAGCTTGCCTCCAAGCTCAGGGCTGGTTTGGAAGTGCTGCTTTCCAGGCTTTTGATTTTCCGCGCAATTGTGAAGCGCCATCGCCTTTGATTTCATGTTCCTGCCCGCCCCAACCCGGCTAGCGCCACCTGTGTGATCTCGCGCCCGCTCCCTCGTCTATATAACTGGCCCTCCCGCGCCTTTGGAGTTTTCACTTTCTTCTCTTTTCGCAACCCCCAGCTTTAACCCAAATCTCACCCACTTTTTGCTGCAATCAACGCTCAACTGCGTTGCTTACTCCACACCCACAAACACACCCCACTAACACTTTAGCAACATGACTGGACGTAAGTACTTCTTTCTTTCTTCCTTGTTCTTGTTGCTGCGCTCGCGTTGCTGTCGTCGATGCAGCTGCATGTGGCGATTAGGCGCGCTTGGTGTTGAGGCTCAACGCGTCGCCCCACTAATGCGCCGCGTATCACCACCAAGCCTCCCGCCAGCACACCATTACGATGGTTACACTGCATCGTCTCATCACGTCGTCACAATATGCTAACGTCTCTATCTAGGCGGCAAAGGTGGCAAGGGTCTCGGCAAAGGCGGTGCCAAGCGTCATCGCAAGATCCTCCGTGACAACATCCAGGGTATCACCAAGCCCGCCATTCGACGTCTCGCTCGTCGTGGTGGTGTCAAGCGTATTTCAGCTAGTAAGATGCTCCCTTCACATTGTCGCATCAAACCAAGACTAACATGCCCGCAGTGATCTACGAAGAGACCCGTGGTGTCCTCAAGACCTTCCTCGAGAGCGTTATCCGTGACGCTGTTACGTACACTGAGCACGCTAAGCGCAAGACCGTCACCTCCCTCGATGTCGTCTACGCCCTCAAGCGCCAGGGCCGTACCCTCTACGGTTTCGGTGGTTAAATATCTCGTCTTCTCATCACCACGCATGGACGCCCGGCACCGACGGCTTCTTCGGGATTCTTGGTCAAGGGTGGCCAGCATGGTCGCACATTGTTTATGGATATGATTTGGTCACGGCTATCGGTCTTCACGGCGTTATGTTTGGGTGGTGTGGAAATGATCAATATGAAGCTTGAATCTTCACTTGGCTAGTCAAAGTCAATACATACACGTTCTGTGCTATCATCACGCTGATGTTCACCATACTTTATTGTCATATACCCGTGGCTGTCTTCAATGTAACTGCTCGTCATCATCCTCCCATCTTCCCTTCGCTATGCCAAATCCCCATGTCCTATCCAACTCCCAACTGCCTCTTCTACATCCTTACAATTCCCAACAACACCAAACAACCCCCCTTCAACCTTGACACTCTCCAAACTCCACCTCTTCAACTCATCACTAACACTCTCCACCCCATCCTCCAGCACCAAAACATCATACCCGCGATCACTCGCCTCCCTTACCGTACTACTCACACACGCATCAGCCGTAACCCCACAAACAACCAGATTCCTCGCCCCCTTGGCCCTCAACACCAAATCCAACTCCGTATGCGTAAACGCGCCTCGCCCCGGTTTATCAATCACTACTTCACCCGCCAAGGGCTTCAGTTCAGGGACAATATCATGCCCCTCATGACCCCTCACTAGCAACCGGCCCAGCGGACCCAAACTTCCTATATCGGCCCCGTTTATCCGGCTACGGTGCGCTTCCCGGCTGCTAACTGTTGCCAGCGAAGCGTCATGGCCTTCGCGCGTGTGCACGACGGTGAAGCCTGCGTAGCGGAAAGTAGAGAGGAGGGATGTGAGACGCGGGATTAGAGGGGCGAAGCGTGTGGTGCTGTAGCCTTGGGAGGAGAGGTAGCCGCCGGGGGAGAGGAAGTCGCGTTGCATGTCTATTATTATGAGGGCGGTTGTGGAGGGGTGGAGGGTCGAGTTGTGTGGCCAGGCGTAGGGGGTTGTGGTGGGGATTTGGGTTGTCATTGTTAGTGGTGGATGGGAGGGGAGGGGAGATGGAGTGAGGTTTTTTTATTGTATCGTTTGATTTAATTTTGAAGTGTTTTTTGGCGTTGAGTAGAAATTAGTAGTTAGTAAAAGTGGTTACCCAACTGTTGGTTGATTAAAGGTGTTCAGGTGTCCCGGCCGAGTCTGTGGTTCATTGTCGAGATCGGCAAGTACGATTCTCTACTTCTTCGGAAGTTTTCCCTCAGCACACTGTCATCTCTTTTACATCAACACCTCCTCGTACACGCATTCTCAACTTACCCCGCTGACCTCATTCTACCAACGAAGAAATGTTCAAAGCCCTTGAACCTGAAGATGCCGCTTATCTCCATTGCCGAACCCCACTTCTACGCAACCCCGGTCTCTTTCCTTCCTATCTTGACCAATGCCCTCCACACACTCGTATTCCGATAAGAACTGCTGAATTATCTGCGGAACCGGCACCATGACAAGTATAGCTGGAACGACCAGTTTTGTTATCAGTTATGGTGCAGGGCCCGCTCCGGCCGGCAATGGTGTATGGAGGGTCCACGGCTCTGGGCGATAGATCGACAGTATGAAATAGTCCTCTCCCCGGCTTTCTGGGTTCTTTGGTGCCCTCAAGTATCGTCGGTCCATTTTCCATTCGATATCTCGAGTGCCAGTTGGTAAATATGGCATCTAGTCCGGTGGAAAAGAAGGTGCTGGACGAAAGTAATAGCGACGATGATGTGCTTGCGCAGTTGGGTTATACCCAGGGTAGGTTTGACCCAAGTGTTCTGTAAATAACATGCTGATGGCTTTGTAGAGTTGAAGCGTAGCTTCAGTCTTCTGGGAATGGTCGGCTTCTCTTTCAGTATTGTCACATCTTGGACGGCTCTCTCGGGTGTTCTTATCATTGGCGTTGAATCTGGAGGCCCGCCGGTCATGATATGGGGTTGGCTCTGTGTCTGTTTAGTTACGCTTGCGGTCGCCTATTCTATGGCTGAGATGTGTAGCGCGTAAGATTCCTTTTCTCATATTTGGTACTGTATACTGACTGTTCAAGGTATCCGGTTGCTGGCGGACAGTATAGTTGGGTAGCTATTCTGGCTCCTACTCGCTGGGCCCGATCGATGAGCTATCTCTGTGGCTGGTGAGTATAAACTGGTCGCATACTTTTTTTCATGTTGTACTTACTTCGCAAGGTTCATGTTGATCGGCATCATATGCATGGGCGCTGTGAACAACTTTGTCGCAACAAACTTCATCCTAGGTATCGCGCAATTGAACTACGGTTTCACCATAGAGCGCTGGCACACGGTCCTAGTTGCTTACCTCATCACTTTCCTGGCAGCGATGTCGAATATTTACCTACCGCATATTCTCAACAAGCTTTCCAAGGCCATCTTTGTCTGGAACCTGCTCTCGTTTGCGGTATGTCTAGTTACTATACTGGCTACAAACGACCACAAACAGTCTGCGAGCTACGTGTTCAGCGATTTCCAAAACTTCACTGGATGGAATGCGCCGTATGCAACTTGTTTGGGACTTTTGCAGTCGGCTTTTGGCATGTGCTGCTACGATGCTCCATCGCACATGACGGAAGAGATTAAGAATGCTCGGAAACAAGCACCGCGAGCCATAGTCATGGCAGTGTACATTGGCTTTTTCACCGGTACCGTTTGGTTAATCGCACTTTGTTTCTGTATCGGCGACCTCGAAGCGACAGGCTCTACTGCGACCGGAGTCCCCGTCATCGAGATCATCTTCAACTCGACTGGTAATGTAGCGGGCACGTCTACGTTGGCATCCATGATCGCCATCATTGCCACTGTTTGCGCCAATTCGCTCATGGCAGAGGGATCAAGAGCTGTATATGCATTTGCTCGCGACAACGGGCTCCCCTTCTCCGAGGTGTTGAGCAAGGTGTCCTCGCGATCCGTACCTGTATACGCTGTCATCTTGACAGCGGTCGTGCAGATGGCGTTCAATTCGATTTACTTTGGTACCACGACTGGTTTCAATACCATTATTGCTATCGCTACACAAGGATTCTGTAAGCGGAGACTCTCTCACATCTAGTTGATGAAACTGACATACAAAGATCTCTCTTACCTCATGCCTCTTCTTTCCCGCATCCTAGCTCACTTCTCCGGAAAGAAAACACGCCTTGAGGGTCCCTATTCGCTCGGCCGCTGGGGTATCGTACTCAACATTATCGGATTTCTGTATCTGGCGTTCATCTGCGTTGTATCCAACCTTCCGAGTGTCACGCCTGTGACCAGCGAGAACATGAATTATACTTCAGCGGCAACGGGAGTTGTTATGTTGATTAGTTTGATTTTCTGGATCATGACTGGGCGCAAGAAGTTCACTGGGCCCGCGGATGGGAATTTGCTGGATGTGGGGACACATGTGGCGTAGGGAAGATGAAGACTTCGATCCTATGTGATTACGGAGTGAGATATACAATATTCTTTGCAAGTTTTATACGGAATTTGGGAGTGGGAATGTTGAGTAGCTTGGGCCGGTGATGTCATTACTGCCTGAAGAAGTTGTGGATTCGCTGCCATACTACGATAGCGCAGGGGTCATGGCCGTTTACTACAGAATTCCGAAACCTAATTTTGTGCTATCGATTAACTACCGCACAATCTCACATACCGTTACCAGCTCCGCTCTCCGATTCTGCGGCAAGGCCACACTCACCAATACGCCGCGATGTCAAGCAAAATTGCACAAAAACGCGCAAAACAGCGGCGTCGAGATTTGATGAAACAGAAGTCACGCATATACAATCAAGTCGAGCCTCGTATATTAAGACCATCAGCTAAGAAACGGCTAAAGCTCGAGCGCTCTCGCAGGCAATGGATCTTCCCGTGGATGATAAATCCAGACTATCGTCTCGGACAGACGTACCCTGCAGCCAGCCTACTAGGTCTCCCCACGGAGTTGCGGCAGAGGATATTTCACGAAGCATTTGACATGAAGGAGCTGAGTACACGTGCGCGCGCGATATGTCCGACGCAGGTACCCATAAAGAGCATACGAAAGTCACAAGAAGCTAAGCTACTGGAGACAAAGGACCCAAATAAGGGCTTGGAGGTTCACCAAGCCAAATACACCATGGCGATTCGTCTGCGCGTTGGGGAGTTCAGCTGTGTGTCGGCTCTGATCCGTCGGGATATGGAGTACGTGAAGCGGATATGGCTGCGGGATTTAGAAGGCTATTTCAGGCTGAAAGACGTGAGAAGCAAGTATGAAGCAAGCTTGGACGCATGGCTGGACAAAGTTAACCATAGAAGCCTGAATGTGAAGGGCAAGGAAGTCACAGTGATTAAGGCTAAGGACCAGAGAGCGTCGGTCATACGGCCTCAGAAATGCTGGAAATGCACGGAACGGCACGTGAGATACGATGCGGTATGCCCGATGACCAGACACGATCCAGAAAGATGGAAGAAGTTAACCAAGAAGATGGCAGGCTGGAGGCCCTTAGTAAGTGACACTTCTCTGTTCGAGGGCACGAGGATAGTGTTTGGCGACGACTATGAGTCCTGGATACGTAGTTTTGAGGTTTTACACAGCATCATGATAGTTACATGATGGCCTATTAATGTAGATACCATGCTGCTCAATCCATGTATCCTATCTGATGTAGTGTACTTGAACGAGCCTCTTTCACCTAGTGAAAGTGAGTGTGTGTCTGTACTAACCAAAGTGGAGCCTATTCTGCCTAATGTACAATAGCTGCATAGTTACAGAGTGTAAGTGAGTCTTCCTATTCAACAGTAGCATTTCACTGGCAGTTGCAGGTTCTTGGGTAGTACTTCTTGATGCTCCGTTCTGCCTTTCCTCTTCTCTCTCTTCAGAATTATTCACACCAATTCAACTTTTGCCCCCTTACCAAATTCCAACCAACGACATACCCAGGCCTATCCGACTTGGAGAGGGTTCAGCCTTTTCCTTCGGGATGGATGTGCCATCCAACCCCTTGCCCGTGGGAGAGGGTGGTGCTGGCGCCGCTCTCTCTCTGAGCGCGGACGTCTTCCCGCCCCCGCCCGAGCCTAGCGCCGGAAGCGGCCTCTTGGCGCAATGGGCAGCGGCCGCGGCGGCGCCAACAAAGAAGTTGTCCGCAACTTTGGAGGAGGCTCGTCTCTCCAAGGTGAGCAAACACCAACCCCCATGGAGGATGACAATTGGGATCGTGCAGTTGCGCTTGAAAGCGACAACAAAGATCTCAGCCGAAAAAATGTTGCACTCAAGAACGAAAATGCTAATTTGGAAAAGGAGCTACGGGAGACCAAGCACCAGCTCCAGCAGAGCGACGACCAGCTCAGCCAGCTGAGGGCAAAGCTCGAGGTCCTTGAGGTCCAACACAAGAGGACGGTTGAGGACCTGTCTGACGAGAAAGCCGCTCATGTGGACGCCAACACCACCATCGACCGCCTCTTCGCTGAGAACGAGCGAGCACAAGCCGCTCGCCAGAGCGCCATCAAGGAGCGAGATGACGCGCTTTCACAAAGCCTTACCCTCCACCAGCAGCTCGGAGACATCACAGCACAGTGGCAGGACCTGGACGAGAAGAACAACCAGCTGATGGAAGAACTGGAAACTACGCAAGAAATCGCAGATTCGGCTGCCGAGCTCGAGCACGACCTGAAGAAGCTGCGCGAGGAACACATTGACCAGGATCGCGAGATTCTTGTCAAGAATGAGCGCATCGAGAACCTCGAGCAGCAGATCCAGAAGGCGAACAAGCGTCTCTTGGAGATGGCGGATGAAAAAGCTCGCGCTGCTGCTGCCTCTCCCACCGACGACAACCGCCATATCGGCTCCCTTGGCGACTCTCTCGAAGACGAGCTGTCCGGTCTAGACAGCGAGTCGTACTACGAGCCTGAGTTCAACGAGTACTCCGCTATCACCGAGATCAGCACCCAGCCCATTGAGCCCGCTCGCGCTCCGCCCTCGTCCATCCACACACAAGAAGCCTCCAGCGTTGCGCCTGTCGCTGCACCTGCACCCACACTGACTGTCTACGTCGGGGATGCCGCCAACACTCAGCCCATCCAGCCCACTCGCGCCCCAGCTTCCACCGTCCACGTACAGGAGGTTGCCAACTATGCGCCCGTCGAGCCCGCACGCGCTCCAGCCTCCGCGATTACAGAGTACGAGTCGATCAGCGTTGCGCCTGTTGCTGCACGCATTCCCACACAGAGCGTACACTACAACGATGCTGCGAGTACCACACCCATCGAACCTACTCGCGCTCCCTCTACCATCTTCGAGCAAGAGGTTGCCAGCTTTGCACCCGTCGAGCCTGACCGCGTTCCCTCTGCAGTCACCGAATACGAGGTTGCTAGCTTCGCGCCTGTCGAACCCACGCGTGCACTCTCCACCGTCACCGAGCACGAGATTGCCAACTTTGCGCCCATTGAACCCACGCGCATACTCTCTACCATCACCGAACAAGAGGTTTTCAGCTTTGCGCCTATTGAGTCTCCTCGCGTTCTCTCTACCATTGCTGAGTACGCGGGTGCCAGTACTGAGCCTGTAGAGCCTGCCCGCGCTCACTCCACCTTTACCCAACAAGAGGTCGTTAGCGTTGCGCCGGTGCAACCCAGCCTTCCGACGCTCTCATTGAGTATCGCGGAAGCTGCTAACACAAGTCCGAGGGTTCGCCAGATCACGACAACAGACTTGTCTACCCAGACCGTTGAGCCTCAACAAACGCCTGTTAGTACGCGAGGCACCCAGACTAGGTCCATCACACCTTCGGTGCCCAACAACTACATCGATTCCGTCATGATCACTCATGAGATCGAGCCTGTCGCACAGTCGGTTATAACGTCCTCGCCTACAGCTAGCACTAGCGTTCAGACCGAGCAGACGGACACACAGTCGGTTGTAACGTCCTCGCCTACCACTAGCATTGGCGTTCAGACCACCGGGGAGTCGGACACCGAGGAGACGGTCATTATCGAGAATCCAGTCGTCACTTCTCCCACCACGGTCAAATTGGGTAAGAAGCGCAGCTCCCTCGTCTGGTTCTTCGGAGTGCTTGACGTTATCCTCAGCATCTACTGCTTTTACATCTTTTCCGAATTGGCCTACTGGAAGAACGCAAACGGTTATGGCTTCGGCGACGGCTACGGCAATGTGGCTAGCCGCAGCGGCGCTTTCGGAAACGGCCGTCATCTCTTTGGCATCCCCCTGGGCATGACCGTCGGCAACTCGTGGATCTCGGAATCTGTCGCCAGACACATGTCAGCTGCCATCTCTCGCATCGAAGACTGGGCTGGTATCGCGTATGAACCTCACTACTGAGTTGAGTTCACCGCCCTCCCCCCGTCTTCCCGACATTACGATTTACGTCCTCAACGCTATGAACGCACCAACCAACCACATCCAGATTGGCCACTACTACCCTTACTATTGCCTTTTAATCATTCCAATCCCCTTTCTGTCTACAAAATTGCATGGTCACTTGGGAAAGCATCATCACGGTGTTTGCTTTGATCCATCCCTCCTGTTTTGCTTGCTTGCTTCTTTCCTAGTTCACGATATAGACTGATTTGCCGCTTACCGCCATACACGTATGAGTGGGAAAGGCCTCTTGTTCTTTTTTACGATATGAAACAAAAAACGGTGGCGTCCTTTTTTTTTCTCACTCTGAAAGCTTCGGCTGTTCATGTTTACGATTACACACACACACACACACAGAAACTGGTTAACGAGATTTATATACCCTTTGTCCCCTTTATACCCCAAAATACCCGATTGAGATTTATTTTTGTTCTTGCGCGTCTGCGAGCGTGCCTGCGTTGCGTGCGAGCAAGCGGTCACAGGCTATGAGAAATGGCTGATGTGTCATGATAGAACGGATTGATGTTCTTTCTTTCTTTTTGTGGTTTGGTTGAGATGGTTGTGTCTTTTCTGGTCGAGTAGGTTGGGTACTTGGGATATCGGCTTGGACAGGGACATTTACTTGATCATGTACCTCCAGCTGCCTTTGCTCACTGACGGGCCTGATGGTGGAAAGACGGATATGCATTGTCCTTTTTTTTCTTCTCACGAAATCGCACATGAATGGGTGGATGGATACTTTTAGATAGACTCTTCAGTATGATGATGATTTATTGCCCCCACGCTCAACGTTCAGATGGTACATATCTTGACTTGACTCCTTTCTTCCCACGTGATAAGATGCGTACGTGCGGGCGTGATTACATACGAGATATCATCGACGTCACCAACAACCTTTCTTGCATATCACCGAGTAAGCAGTCTTGGATCAAAGCGAAGCAGTCATGTTGAGACGTCACTAACAGCCTTTTGCATATCACCGAGTAAGCAGTCTTGAATCACAGCATGCGGAGAGTTATATCGGGACGATAATGCAACCATGTTTAATTCGTTCATCTTCAGGTACCATGTATCCGTTCCGCGCAACACGCGGCATCCGTCCATGACCGTATCCCCATCCATGTCGTTTGCCATGGCCTCAGGCATGCATCCGAAACACACCTGACTGATGCCTCAGGCCGCATGAATCGTGTATGTGTGTGAGACGCGTGTTGCCTCTCTTCCGAGCCAAGTCAGACGTCACGAGATGGCCGAGGTAAAGACACGTGGGAGGATATCGACGAGGGAATAGTATGCAGCGGGTTGCACTCGTCCGGGACTATGGTTGATGCAGGGACAGCGCGTGCCGCCTCTACGGCAAGGTAAGTGTGCAGCCCAGTCCCCTTTTGCTTTTTCCGACGCACTGCCCAATCCTTCGTATCCTGTGTTGATACCTGGGCATCGTGTCCGGAGCTTTGAGCCCGTCGAGTCGTTGCGGAGCCGCCCATGGTCCTTGAGCATCATTTGCGGCCAGCGTTGCGGATATCCGTTGCAGCAGCCGTTGGATAAATCACGACGTCTAAACTAAGCCTCTACTACGTCAGCGTGTCAGCATACTGGACGATCTTGTGGGTGTAGTCGCCATAGGCTGGGGGCGGTGTCATGTCACGGCAGTAACTTGAAGGGTCAGCGATCGTCGGTTGGGCAGCCGATGCTGGGGAAACTCCAGCTAGCAATGCTTTGGCGTCCGAGGTATTTAGTACCTCGCCCGTCTCTTGACATTGAGTGCGCGCATCTATTAGCGAAGCTCTGCTACTCTTGTAGTGCTGACCAGAGTCGCACATGGCAGGTAGGGTCGACACATGTCGGCAGCTTGGGCAGCCGATGACCAAGAGATATACAGGTCACCCCACCCCCTCATATCTAAAAAGCGGTCACCGGGAGCATTCGGGCCGCTCGCGATGCAACGGAAGCATCAGTGCCCAAGTAGGTAGTCGTGACGGCCCTGCAGCGGCAGACTAGATCCTTACGCGCGAACTGGCGGAAGAATGCTCGGGCGACAAAAGTACCGCGGTAGAGGTGGGAGACGGTCTTGAACATAAGGTTCCCCAGTGCGTGGGTCGATATAAGGATCGGAAGGTGGGTCCTGCACATGACGAGGTGGTTGGAGTGATGAACCTTGTGTACGCCTCAAGCGCGGGTGTTAGTTCCACAAGTCGTGGTTGAGATGGACAACGAGTGGAAGAAGGGAGCGGACGACAGAGCTGGCTTAGGCGTAATATGGGCTGCAGGTCTGGCCGGGCCCAGAAAGGCGTTGTTGTACGATAGTGATAGTGATAGTGATAGGAGAGGCCGCCGGGCTTGGGCTGATAGCTGTGCCGATGCTCCTTCTCTTTTTGCCCCAGCTACAGCAACTCCATGGTTCAGAGGGCGAGTTAGTAGGATGGACATGATTAGTAGTAGTGAGCAAGAGTAAGAGGCGATCAAGTACTTGTGTCAGATGCTGGCAGCAATAGCAGGTTTGGTGGTAGGTAGGGAACCCTGGGGTAGGACCCTGTGGGTGTTGTCAGACATGGGCGTCCTGACTTGGGCAGCACGGCAGCTGCGCGTCATCGTCGCTGCGGCTGCGGATCAGGTGCGGTGACACGAAAACACGTGCTGGTGTCGCTGGGCCCACGGGTGCCTGACGACGATTGCGGTGCAAGATGCGGGCGGTAGTATGGGCAGCCAACTAATGAGAAGCAGCCACGAGGGGGAGCAGAAGCAACTGTCTTTTAGGCCGGGGCAGAGGGAGAGGTTCCCATAGGCAGAGAGACATGAAGAGGCAAGAAGATTTTGCACGCTTCGAGCATAGGGTGTGTACGGCTGTTGCCATCTGAGGAGGTCTGTTCGTTGTATGAGATGGCATGCTGGTGTCGCAGGCTGGGGGGGGGGGAATAGAGAGTCGGTGAAGGGCGTCTGACGTTCAGCCGGTCAGCTCTGGCCACACAAACGTCATGGCTGGCCGAGATGGCCGACCAGGGAGAAGCTTGGTTGTTGTTGGGTTTTGGCGATGCAGGCCTCACCGGAGGCGTGGGAGCAGCTATCGACAGTTTGCAACGCGGTGAAAAATTGTCCTCGGCTAGGCCCGACAAGGCCCTGGAGCCCGCCTACAGATACAGCCCCTCCCCACGACGCCACACTGACAGACGCCTGCGCGATGATGGCGGGAAGCAAAGTCGCCAGCCATGTCGCAATGCCGTCGTCCGCCCTTGTTAGAGGTCTTGGCTACCAACAGCATCAGTAGCAGGAGCATCATGGCCATGATGATCCATGACCGACGCCCGCGACGATGCCCGTTTGCGACTCGTTCGCTGCATCAGTCAGGCAGGCCTTGGGCGCGCGCGGTTGATGCCCAAGCGGCGCCACCAGCGAGGGCTGTCCCCACACACTCGCATCGCCCACTTGTGCGCTTGCTACCCAAATCGCGCCAGAAGCTCGAGCTGGCCTTTTTCTATGGGGTCCCAATGCGCTTCCGAATAACTAGATCGGCTGCCGTCGGTACGCTGCTTGTTTTCGTCTGATCTTTTCTCCCTCCGCCGCCGCTGCTCCATCCCTCCCATCCAGCTGTCTATATCGCTCTCGCCATTCCCATCCATTCCCGTGAAACCAGCGTCAAGCGTCACTACTGTCAGCCCTCGCGTGCTTTGCTGCCCGACACCAACGGATTGACGTGCATCCAGCCTGCCGCTGCCCTGCCTGTCACTCGTCCGCCAATCAGCTCCCCGCACCCACTGCAGCCATACTTCAGCTTCAGACACTGAGACGAGTCTTCAACAAGTACTCATCCCTTCGTCCGTCCCCCAGACATCTATCTGCAGAGAAGCGCACATAGTGTCTCCAGCATAGTCCTGTATACCTCCAGGTACCTGTCGTGAAGCGCGATAGAGATTACACCCCCACCAGGAAGCTGCATCCCATCAGCTACCACATCCCAAAAAGGGTCGCCGGCAGCCACGCCGTCAAGGTCCACTCTCTGTCACAGGCCGCACGCCCCAGTGCCCGTATATTGGTCAATACCCCGCCCCAGTCTTGCCTCTCTTCCACCTTCCTCCTGGATCTCCTTGGACACCATAGCCCCAGGACACACAGACGCCTGCACTGTTTCCCGGACCGTAATCTTGGTGCTTGTCTTAGCTTCCCTAGCTTGGCCCGTTTTTTGGCATTAACATAAGCCGCATTTTTTATTTACTGTCTCCCTCATATCCCTCTCTGTAGCCATGTCGCGCGCAAATCAGTGGTTCGTGCCCGGCGACGGTATTGCGAGAGAAGTAATCACGGCCGACATCCAGCGCTATTTGGGCCCAGATGCGCTCGTCAGGCCTGGCACCGGCACCGGAGAGTACCAGGTCCGCACATCTTTCCTTGATGCCACACGTACGGAATACTAACTCGCGCGCAGGGCCAACCAGGCTACTGGATAACAGCATACCGCACTCTGACTTCGGTAGGTGGCGAGTCTCGCAAGTAGCTCGCGCAACACGCTAACCAAACTCCCGCAGCAAATGATTCAGGACTTGAAGATGGATTCGCAACGTTGGCAGCAGGAGCGCCAGCCTGGCGAGACGGGACGTGGAGGTAGCCATAGTCCTCAAGTCCGCACTACTAAGGTATCAGGGGGCCCTAACGCTTCATTAGTCGCTTACCAGGACTCGCGCACACATGCTGCTCGCCAGCATTGGGGTCCAACAAAACCGTATGAACACGGCGCGCCGCATGCGGCCGCGGATCCCTATGATCAGCCTCCTCGTCAGTCGTCGACGTCGTCTAGAGCGACGACGTATTCGTCTTCTGGCTATGCTAGCAGTGACCCCCACTACACCACCACCCCAACCACGTATGGAGCTTCACATCCGGGCTACCAGGCCGCATCCGCTGCACCCAGGACTCAGCCAGCGGACCCATACTCATCTTCTTACCAGCAACCCAGTGGAAGGGAATACCCCGCCCAGGCTGGCTACTCTTCTTACCCCGCGCAGACCACAGATCCCTACGGACGACAGACGGCACCTCCCACGCCCCAATATGCTGCTCCAAGGTATTTTGGTTACTATGACGAACCCTATTTGGTCTATCGCTAAGCCCCAGTAGTACTCCGGCAGCCGCCCCAGGCTACTACATTGCTTCGGATGGTCGTCGTAAGTGCATTGCGTCGTCCCGGCATCCTACAACTGACACTCACCCCCCCAGAATATCCATTATCGCAACAGCCGCAATCGTCGCGCAATCAACCCTCGGGCACCTCTAGGTACAGTACCAGATAGAGAGCCTATCAATCTTACCAAAACCTCATTGTTCCTGCGTCGATGTATCGAGCCCAGAGATACCCTTTCCTTCCCTGTCTGGATGGAGCTCTGGAGTCTGGCCACCCTAATATTGTAATGGACCATCTTCTTCCTTCCGGGGCCCGTAGGCAGTTTACCTTTACCAAAAGCATCCGGATAGAGTCCTTTCCCTCGGATCTCAAACACGGACCACAAATTCCAGCCTGGTTGTACCCAAGGAGCATTGACTATCCGGGTTTTTTCTCTTTTTCTTTTTTCCTTTTTTTTGCTCACTGCTCATGTACGTTATTCTGCAAGATTGGGTCTCATTTCTTGTTTCTACCGGATCTATGCTTGTCATATGCGAGCCATTTCTGCCATGGACATTATCGCCCTGACCAGGACTGATACCACTGGTGGTCATCACAATGCTTTTGCATCAATTTCCGGAAACTGCTTTTCTTGCAATGTATATACCTGCGACACTGGGTCGTTGCTTCACGAAGCCATGTTTATGAATCAACGGTTATCTGCGCATGCACAGCGTGCGTGGGAAAGGAAAATGCCAATACTATCTGTGCAATATCAACTTCTCTGTCGCAACTAGATTGTGCAATCCTCTTTGCTTTCCTAGTCATCATCAAGGTACTCGCCACAGCGTACGAAACATACTGACTCGACAATGTTTCTACCCGCCGATCGACACGACCGCTACGGTTGATCATCTTGCGCCATTTTTTCTCCGATAACGTCGCCGATCGTATGCCGATGTTCGAGCTGTGCCTCATGTAATGTTATCAGTCTGTTTCATTGTGAGTGAAACGGCTTGCAGCATTGACGATGGATCGAGTTCGTTGAATACAAGGTGGAAAGCGGCTATATTGCATATGCGCGTGAAACCATGGCTCTGCTAGTCATGTGCTTCAAGGAACATGGAAGATGGTGAAGTCAAGTGAGTGATTAAGATCTGCATGATGAAGCTTGTGGCATTTCTGCTATCACGGCAGGTGTAGCGGCTCGGCCCTTCCAGAAGCGACTTGTGTTCGCGCGAGTGGAGTTGGTCGCAGGACGGGCTGCTTCTAAGGGACTTTAAGCTCTGCACACTGCATCATCAGGGACATTTAGTGGTGGACAGTTGGTCATGTTATCTGTCACCGCTAATCCTCACGAGTCAGTATGTCACTTTGCCCTCGGATGTGTAGTCCCGCAGCATTCTTCCATTAGCGGCCTTTACCCGGGCCATAAACTCTAGAACTAGGCCGTACTTGCCATCAACGGGCAAGTTGTTTATCTACCTCGCCCTATTATCTACCGAACCCCTCAACTTCAGCAACTTCAAGTAACGCTCCGGACATACTCCCGTATTGTTGCGCTTGGCCGCGCTGTAGACCCGTGCCGCGTGACCAAATAAACATGGTAGATGTCGCTGCCATGTCGTGTGCGAAATTCTGCACTTTCCACTCGTTGCGACGTTCGGTATGATTGCTTTCGCGAGGTTTTGGGTCGCTGCGACGTTGTTGGCGCAGCATGTGTGCACGGGCCGGACTGTGTTTGGACGTAATGCGACCGAAACATTCGCAGATGGGTTGCTGCGCGAGTCAATGGATTGGATGGATATGTACTATGACAGCGAAAGAGGATATCTATACAGTCTGGAGGCCAAGGCACTGACGCATGAGACGAGGGCCAGTGTGTGGTATGCAGCGGGTTTACTGGCCAGAAACGAAAACGACGATGTTGAGCAAGCGGTCAAGATTGTGAAGAATGTTATCGGAGGCCAGTTCAAAAATGAGAGCCAGCAGTGGTATGTTTTGTAGTGCCACAGGCTGCTGGTGTTGATGCTGACACCACATCGAGGTTTGGCAACTACCAAATTTATCCCGAGGAGCCTACGGTCGGCAGCGAAGCCTACCCTGCCAAGATGTACAACTCTTGGGATCCCAATTGGCGCGGCTTCGTGGGCACGACTTTTGTCTTGATGTTAGAAGAGTTTCCGCATCTTCTTCCCAAGGATGTGCAAGATTACATGGTGGAAAGTCTGTTCAACACCACCATTGGCGATAGCTACCGCGTTGGCGGCGTAGATGGCGATAACTTGTATCCCGCATACAGCAACCCATCCATTATGCGCGCCTTTGTCTCTGGCTACGTAGGCCGCCGCGTAAACGACTCAAACATGACTACGGCCGGTGAAGCCTACGCCAAACAAGTCATTGATCTGTTTACCCGCGACGACACATTGTCTGAATTCAATTCTGGCACCTACGCAGGAGTGTCTCTTTGGGCACTTACGCTCTGGGCGAAATACATGCCACGGGATAGTCTAATGGGCGAATACGGACCACAAATGATACGCTCCACATGGACAAGTCTAGGCCAGCTATACAACGCCAACCTGAAAAACGTAGCCGGGCCCTGGGACCGCGCCTACGGCTTCGACATGAACCGTTATCTCAGCATCCTCGCACTACAAATGTGGACAATTGTCGGCAAGGAAGCGTCGCCCATGCATCCCAAAGTAAGTTATTCCTCTTCCAACACAAACATGGAGAAAATCTGATTGAACTAATACTTCCATCCAGCCTTACGCAATGGGCCACAAAGATGACTTCGCAATCGGCCCCCTCATCGCTATCTTAGCACCATACCACAATACCCTCGTCCCCGACGAAACACTCTCCGCTCTCACAACCTTCCCCGGCACCCACACCGTCCACACAACCGCCTTCTCACCCCCCTTCGACACCTATCCCCGCAACATAACCGCCTACCTCTCCCCCAGCCTCACAATCGGCGCAGAATCCTTCTCCGAAAACGTCATTGGCGGACCCGCCAAGAACCCCAATTCCTTCAACCCGGCCGTTGTGCAGTGGAGTCGTAAAGATGGAACTGTCGGCTGGATGAGCTTGTACGCGCAGGTTTACGCACTGGATGTGGTTGTTGGGGAGGGCAGTTTGGAGTTGAGTTATCCGCAGGGGAATGAGACGAGTGCGTTTTCCTTCCTCGTGGGGACGAATGGGTGGGGTGGGAAGAGGGATGTTGGTGGTTGGGCGGATGTCGAGGGTGTGAGGGTTAATGTTAGTGGGTCGGTGGATTTGGAGTATGGGGTTGGGTTTAATGGCATGTTTGGGGGGGAGGGAGAGGTGATTAAGTAAGTTTTGAGTTTCTTTTTTTCTTTTTACGACCGACAGAGAAGGAGAGATTTGCTAACATCTGGACTAGTGACTTCGAGTTTTGGAACTTCACATATAAGATGCTGGCAGGGAGTAAGGAGGTGCCGAGGGTGAGGTTGGAATTTGAGGTTGTGTAAATCTGTGGGCTGGGGAATAAGGAACGAGAGAAGGTATAGATGAGGGTATGTATATATAACGATTACGATATACCGACATCTAAGCTTGTATGAATCAGGCCTAAACAAAGATTGTGCGGTCCTTGTTAGATGCCCTAAACTACCTCCACGTAAGTCCTATCATCTACACGAACATAAATCCATATCGACATTCATACATAAATTTCATAATAGCGATAAGTACTCATTCTAACATAAACATGAACATAAATATGAATATACAAACCTCATCCCCCCCTTCCAAACGCCAACCTAGCCTGTCCCTTCTCCACCCCACTCGCACCCCCAGGCGGCCTCCCCCTACCCCTCGATCGCTTCCCCGCACCACCCCCCTTTCTCGCAGACTGCGGAGGCTGAGCAGGAGTAGTCCGTTCTTCCTGGCGCATCTCCCTCGACAGATCGAGCGCGAAGTGATAGTCGTCATGTTCTGGTTTCTCAACTGGGGGGAGGTGGATGTTGCATCTTGGGCAGAAGAATGTTGGTGCGGAAACTGGCTGTGGCTGTGGTGGTGGGGGCGGGATGTTTGATGTACGGTGAAGTTGACCTGAGGGAGGTGTATCCACGGTATTGTCTCCGTCACTGCAATGCTTTCGTAACGGCGGTGGTGGTGTAATCGGTCTCTCCACACCATCAAAATCATACCGCTGTTCCTGAAACCCCTCCTCCCCCTCCCCCTGTTCATCTTCCTCCATCTCGCCCCCGCTTTCCTCGCGCGTAGACTCGCTGTGCGCTTTCAGTAGTACCGCTCTCGCAGCATCAAAGTCTTTCTTCTTATCATCTCTCGGACCGAAGAAATTCGCAATGTTGCCTTTTGTTCTGCGTTTCTTGGCCGGTGGCTCGCCGCCGCTACTTGCACTTCGCCCTATCGCCGTCATCATCGTCGACGACATCATAGCTTTTGCCTCTTCGCCGCGGACGAGGAAGCCGCCGATGCCCTTGTTACCCGTGATGCCGTCTTCGAAGCCGCCGACACTGAGGGAGAGGTTCGAGCAAGGCCAAGCGCGGCCGTCGACAACGACTTGGGCTAAGAGGTTCTTTGCAAGGTCGAAAAGTATGGTTTCGGAGAGCGGTTTGCCTTGTGGTATGGGAGCCTGACGACTCCTTGTTTGAGCACCCTGTCGGTGGTGCAGGTTTATGCTTTTGGGACGGCGCTTGTTTTCCAAGACGCCTTCTTCGACGCAGCGGGAGAAGATGTCTGCGACGAAGATGCGGAGCCAGCGGACGCCTTGCTCGAAGGAGTGGATAGCCGGGCGGAACGACTTTGCCGAGAGCATGCTTTTGATTTGGGTACGTGGGTTCACTTCGCTGTTGTCTTCGCCGCGGATGATGGAGTGGATCCATGTGCCGGTGTCGTCGCCTAGTCTCTTGAGTTGGTCCAGTGGTTGTTCGACGAGATCTCTGACTTTGTCTGTGCCGAACATGGCAACCACTTCATCACCTAGTTTGCCGCCCAGCATACGGATCTTGGTAAACTTCATATCGGAGAGGAAGTGCTTGACTGCGCGGTTCCGGATCACGGTCTGTTGGTTGGGTTTCTTGTATCCAGAACCTAGTTTCGATAACATCTTGTTTCGTGCAATGCCCCCGGAGCATGTATATCCCAGTGTATCTTTGATATGCTTTCGTACGTCTCGCACAATTTCAGACGCAATCACCATGCACACATCATCCCAATCTGGATCTCTATCCTCTCCGTCTTCCTCGCCCGTCTCCACAAGCGCATCAGCCGCCCAATCCAAAACCGTTGTAGGCACCTTTGGCAACCGCTCCGTCGGATCATCATACGGCGCCGGCCCTCTCAACTCGGGATATCTCTCCAACAATATCGTATGCACCTGCGCACTAAGATCCATAAAAACCTCATCAATACTCGCCTTCTCAACCCGTTGATCCTTATCCGGCAAAATCTCCTTTATACACTTCAAAATTTTGCGACTCTCCTGGCGATACGGGTCCAAGCTAACTTTATGCGTCGCCATGTCCTTGAAGCTATTCTCGTGGTACGCCCATGTCTCATCGCCCTCCTTCCACGTCGCAACATGTTGTAGAATCAGCTCGGGACATTGCTTCAACGCCTCGGTAGACGTGACATGGCGGCTGAGGCCGAATGCGCGCGCGGGGTAATTTATAGCGATTAAGCCCTGCCATTGTTGGACTGCGAGGGGCTTTGATGGATCGATGCCGAGGCGGACGGTTTCGCACTGCGCGTAGAAAGCATCGAGGTCGACGTGTGCGATTACGCGGAGGGGCGTCTGCGGACTGCAAGTTTTGAGCTGGTGGAGTTGTTTGTAGGTGAAGTTTGATTTGGGGATGCGGCGCGGGGACGTGATGGAGAATTGCGACGAGTCGAAGTTGGGGGATGACGACGGCATGATGCGTGTTTAGTCATACGATGTCATGATCAAATAGCATAACAAGTACAGTAGGTTGATTAACGTGCTATATGCGATATCACATCGTGGAAACAGACACGCCATACAAGCGCGACCTGGCGCGTGTTCCCGCGATCCCGTGCATGCGCGTCATTCATCTTTATGATCGCGCTAGCCGAATGTAGGTAAGCAGATCTAGAGACTACTAAATCTTTTGTATCCAAAAGTCGCCAAGTGTAGAAGAAAAACTATTAATTGTTATACACCACTAACAATGATTGCTATACACATTAGACATACCTAATAAGGGGCTGACACTGATTGTTATACTCAAGTTACTCCTAAAGAACCTGAGCTGATACGCATAAAAAACGTTGACACCATCCCTCCTCAACCACCATTATCTCACCTGGGGCCACGCCCTAGTACTCCTGTGTGGGGACACCGCTTAGCACATACAACCACGGCAGGACATCACATCAGAAAAACAAACATGCAAAGGAAAACGCAAGTCAACATCATGAACGAAAGAGATTTGTTATTACACTCATATACTGAGCGTCCTCTGTACAGGCTTACGGCCGTAATAAACAGGGACATGAGAAGTAGCCGCTTTACGCCAGCGACCAATTGAATCGAGATCCAGGCCCAAACGCCAAACAAGACAAAAAAAGACACCCGTCGGGGAATGTAACGTCCAGACGCCCCCATATCCAACCGATAATCGTGACACTCATTCATACCCGTCTTCGCCATTCATTACCCGTCCTCGTTCACGCCATTCAGTCATCATTTGTAGGCCAAAGCCAAATCAACTCCGTCATGTGTGCAAACCACCGATCATGTGTCATGGTCCATTTGCTCCTGCCCTTGTCAAGCTCGACGACGTATTCATCAGCGATGCCAACTCTTAAACCCCAGAGGGGGCGAGTCAAAGCTTCAAACCGACAGATGCGGAGCGAGACAAAGAGCATAAGCGTTGTACATAACACTAGACACAACCGAGTGATGTCTAGCCAACAGTGCTTGCCTCCTCCTCAGCTGCGCGTCGGAAGTAGTCGGCGTCCACCAAAGCACTGTTGCCGAGGTCGGCAGTAGGCAGGTCGATACCAAGGCCCGAATCGCTAGGTGGAGCATAGCTGTCCTTCATCTCTTCCCTGACAGCGTCGACCGCGCGAACGATATCTGATTCTGTTGGTAGGTCGACCTCGCTGTCTGCAGTAGCGGTCGAGATCTCGGACGCATTGACATCAGATGGCTCAATGATAGCTGTAGGCTCCTCATCTTCAGAGTACTCGGAGCCTTCGTCAATGGGCTCTTCACCTCGAGCGGCGGATTGGGTAGAGCGGGCGCCATATGAAGTGCGGCGGTCGTGATCAATATCGCTGCCGGTCATGTAAGAGGAGCCAGAAGCGTAGGTGTATTCACTGCCAGTGCCACCGTAGCTGGAACGCCCGTCATAGCCGGGTGTCTCGCCGTCGGCGTCGTTCTCATCGTAGCGGCTGCCAATGCTATAGCGGCGCTCGGTACCGGTCTCACTCTGTATATCTTCCTCGATGATAGAGTGCGAGAGAGGTGCTGAAGCTTCATGTTCGTCTTCTTCGGGAAGCACATCATTCTCCTTGTTGGCAGCAGCGGCATTAGGTCGAGTACCCCAAGAACCCTTTCGCGAGTAGTTGCTTGTCTTCACCGAATGGCTGCGCTTGATTGCGTTATTGCCGTTGGTCGCGGTATGGGTAGTAGGGTATGCCTGGGCTCCAGTGGGTGCGTTGCCGCTGATCTGACTGAGCGACAGGATACGACGTTGTGCAGGGTTGGCGGGTGCACCGGGGCGACGGATAGCAGGACGAGGTTTGAGCGCGAGAGACAGACCATTCGCTGCGGTACTTGGAGGTGGCATCGCCTTGCTGTCCTCGTCTGCAGCGTCTGCGTTCATACGCTTCTTGAGCTTCGACCCGCCCTTCGTCATCATAAGAGCGCGGGAATGATCCATGATACCGTTCAGGATGCGACGCTCTAGTGCATCCGCTTTGGTATCCATAAAGTGCAGCTCTTCTCGACGGATTTCAAGCGCGGTATGGAGAGAGGAGACTTCGCCTGTGAGTCGAACCTTTTGGTTGGCCAGGTTTTCGCGTTCCGCTTGAAGGCTAGCGACAGCAGCCAAAAGCTGGTCCTTCTCTTCCTTGAGCTCAAGCATGGTACGCTCCTTCTCTTCTTGCAACTCAGCCATGACACGTTCCTTCTCTTCCTTCAGCTCTTGTACAACTCGGTCCTTCTCAGCCTTCATTTCCTGAAGATCTGTGAAGAGTTGCTCCTTCTGGGTAGCCTTCTCTGCCCGAAGGCTCTCCAGGTCAACTTCTAGCTGTTCTTTCTGAGTCGTCCTGCGCTCAATGAGCAGGGCAAGCTCCTCGGCCTCGCGTTCCTTGGCGTCGTTACCGTCGGTGATGAACTGTGTCTGTTTTGCGACGAATTCGCTCAGCTCAGTCGCAGTCACCTTGACTTGAGCATGGATCTCATCCAGCTTCTCGAGGTTACCGATCGCCTTACCCGCCTCATCAGCATGGCCCAGGAGCTTGTCAAGCTTCTCATGAACAGCACCATCGTCGTAGTTGGGCGCTGGTTCGATGGCAAGCAGCTTGTCGAGTTTCTCCTGCACAGCGCCATCGTCATAGCTGGGCGGTGCTTCAATCGCGAGCAGCTTGTCAAGCTTCTCCTGAACGGGCGCGTCATCGTACTTCTCTGGCAGCTCGATCGCCGGTGGGGGAGCAGGCAGAAGCTTGGGCAGATTCTCAAAGTGGGCTTGCAGCTCTTCGGAACGAGCCTTGGCCTCCTCAGTCCATGCTCGAGCGTTCTCATCCGCCTCTTCCTTGGACTTTTGAGCGTGTTCATAGTGAGCCTTGACGAGAGCTTCGATTTCGTGTAATGCCACCATGAACTTGGGGTGATACTCCGTGACGTTGTCCTGGAGACTGGTAAAGATGGTCTCGATGTTCTTGATCTCGTCACGTGTGTGTGAGTGCTCACCCTTGTCGTCCAGCTTCTGCTCTTCAAACTTGGCAATTGTTTCGAGCTTCTGCTCCTCGAGTTTGGCGATGGTCTCAAGCTTCTGCTCTTCAAGCTTTTCCAGCGTTGCAAGCTTCTGCTCTTCGAACTTTGTCAGAGTCTCGTCGACCTTGCCGATGACGGTAGTGGAGTCGGTAGAGAACTGAGTGGTAACACCCTCGAATCGATCGTTCATACCGGCTATCGTAGCACCAAGTGTGTCGATGGTCAAGCGAAGTTCGTCGGCCGTAGTCTTGGTGTTCTCGAGCATCTTCTCCTGCTCCTCAGCCTTCTCTTTCATGACCTTGGCAAGCTCATCCGCCAAAAGTTGAGCATCGTCGTACTTGGCCATGAGCGTGTTGAACTTATCCTCCAAGCGTTCTGTAAAGTCCGCAACGATTGCATCCTTGACCTCGTCATGCTTTTCAAGGTACAATGCAGACTTCTCTGAATGCTCGTTCTGCATGCCTGCGATAGATCCGTGGGCACGCTCGAACTCCCTTGTGAGAATCTCCATCAACTCCTTCACATCAGCAGTAACGTTGCTTGCACCAATGGTTTCCTCTAGTGCCTTGAAGGAAGCTTGAAGGTTCTCGATCGGCCCACCTTCGATGAGGTTGGTCTTGATTTCGTCCCTCATCTCGTCCAAAGCCGTCTTGACACCAGTGATGTCCTCCACGATCTGGGTAGCCTCCGCTTTGCGTGCATCAAAGTTACCTGCCGTTCTGAGAATGTCTGCTTCGTAGGTGTCCTTCATTTTCTCATGGCTATCGCGGAAGTCGTGGATCAAGCCAGTGAGCTGTTCCATTTCAGCCTTTGAGGCAAGCTCCTCAGGATCTGGGATCTTCAAATCATCCAGCTTGACCTTGAGATCGTCCACAAGCAGAGTCACAGCATCGATGTCTGCCTTGGTCGCCTGTGGGTTGGCCTCATCTTCCGGTTTGGCAGCCTTCATCTCGTCTAGAGCAAGCTTGATGTCGTCCGCAATCACCTGGATGACTGTAACGTCGGCCTTGGTTGCACCTTCGTCTTCGAACTTCTTGGCGAGTGCCTCCAGAGCCTCGGACGTAGTCCTAACAACGAGCTCAACATCTTCTAGGTTCTCCTTGGTGACAGCAGTTGCAGGATCCGGTAGGACTAGTTCCTCAATCTTGGCCTTTGTGTTCGCAAGGAGTGTCTCGATGGCGTCAGTATCCTCCTTCTTGGCAAAGCCTTCCAGAGCAGGTGGCGAAGTCTCACGGTCCTGCATAAGCAGCACGGCGGCTTGAACATCCTTCAGAAGCTCTTCGATAGCAACGAGATCTTCCTTCATCGCTGATCCTGTGGCAGCGACGGCTTCTGACGGCGCGGCAGCGGCAGCGGTAGAGGTTTGCATGTTGGCGTCCATGGCATCCACCTTCTCCTGGATCTGAGTCAAGATGAGCTCCATCTTGGCCAGATCAGCAGATTGTGCTGGTTGCAGTTGTGGCGGCTCCTCTTGCGATGCTTCTTCAATAACCTCCCGCGATGTAGATTCTTCACTGTCCGGAACTCCCGCTAGAGCAACTTCGTTACCTGCTGGAGCGCCATCCTCCTCGACAGCCACCTCCTGCCTAGTGCCTTTGAGCATGTCAATATCCTCACGCAGGGCGTTCAGACCTTCTTTGAGGGTCTCTAAGATCTCGTGTGACACGCTCATGTCGACAGGCTTCTCGGCCATCTTGACGACATCGGCTCGAAGCCCTTCGATTCCTTCGTTCATCGCGTCGATGATTTCACCAGTAGCAGACATTTGGCGATCAGGGTTGGTCTCGAGCTTCTTGTCAAGATGTGATTGCAAGTCATCAAGACCAAGTTTCAGAGCCTCCAGGACTTCTTCCGTGTCAGCGCGTGAGTGTTGTCGGGTCAGGTCATCAGAATGGCGCAGCTGCTCTAACTCGCCACGGAAGGCCTCTAGGATTTCTTCGTTGAGGCCAGCGGATGTGAGGTTAGCCTTGATCTCATCGAGAGCAGTCTTCATGACCATAACCATCTCGGTCTTGTCCTTGTCGCCGGCAGGCACAAGAGCATTACCGAACGATTCCCTCAACGACTCAAGCTCTGTACGAATTAAAGCAAGATTGTCCTTTGAAGTAGCCTCTTGTGAGGTGTTCAAGCCTTCGAGTAGCTCTCGCACAGCGTCAACGATGCTGTCTTTGTCGGCTGTAGCACCTGACTGAACGAGGGAGCCACTCAGGCTCTCTTTGAGGTTTTCGAATTCCTCCTTCAGCGAAGCGAGCATGGCGTCGTTGGGTGTGTTTGCAGACTCCTTCTCAGCGATGAGAGTATGTAGACCGTCGAAGCCGGCTTGAAGTTTTTCAAGGATGTCATTCTTGTTGCTAGAAGTGTCACCAAGGACAACCTCCTTGAGCTGATCGAACTCATGTTTAATAGCTTCGCTGATATCATCGGTGGAGTCGGTATCATCCTCGGCTCGGAGCGCAACTTGCGATTTCATCTCCTCAAAGCCAGCGGTGAGGGCAGCCAGGATCTCTTCGTTGCCCTTGGCAGACGGCAAGAATTGAGTGCTCAACTTTTCGTGAAGGTTCTCGAATTCCGACTTGAGGTATGCGACCATGTCACCGCGGCTCCAGGCCTGGTCACCACGTGGACCCTCAGCAACATAGCCCTGAACATCTTCGCGTAGCTTATCAAGCTCGGTCTTGATGTGATCAATCATCTCGCCGTCTTGCGTGATCTCCCGAGGTTGATTGACTGACCCTTGGAGTTCAGTTCGAAGACTTTCCAGTCCTTCGCGAAGTGCTGTGAGAACCTGCTCGGTATCCTGTCCACGATCGGAGGAGATGCCTTCGAACCTGGCGTGGGTGTCATCAAGTATCGACTGTAGACGCTGCATGACTGCTTCGTTGTGGGATTCAGTCGCTGCTCGAACAGCATCTCCGATGGTCTCTGGGGGAAGCTCGAGGTTTACGGGTGCGGAACCGTGTTCAGAAAGCGCGTTGCGAATGACCTCCTCCAGCAGTTCTCTGGAAAGAGCATCAGCCGGTGGCTGAGTGCTAAGAGCAGGCTTCAGCTCCTCCAAAGAATCTCGAACAGCCATAAGAATCTCTTCGCGAATCTCATGAACTTCGTTGATTGGAGGCGGTAGTTGAATCTTCTCTAGGGACTCGTGTAACATGGTTTCGATTTCCTCCTTTGTGACAGCACCAGAGCCGTTGAAGTCTTGGAGGCCTTCGCGGAGACATTGCAAGATTTCGTCACTGCCGAGACCAACCTGCTGTACTTCGATACTCGGGTTCAACTCAACGCCGTCGTAAGCTTCACGCACTGCGCTGATGATTGCCTCCTTGTCCAGTGCAGCTTGAGCAGATGGTTGGTCCAGACCGCGCTCCGCTAGTGCCTGCTTGACAACGTCGTAGACCTCGTTGTTATCGACAGTGTTGCGAGTCACAACAGAAGACATGGACTGTCGTCTTCGCTCGCGCATGACCTTGTCCATGTGCTCCTTCAGGTTCGCAAGACCCTCCTGGACGATGGCGTTGATGTCCGCGGTGGCCTGACCAGACTCAGCTTCGGTTGCCCTAGCCTGTTCGGCCTCCTCAACCTTGCGGGCAAGTTCACGGCCCATGCCTAGAACCTCGTCCCTCAGTTCTTGGACAAGCGTCTTGGTGGCCATGGTAACACATCCGGACTCGGCGACACTGTCCTTGATCTTCCGTAGGAACTTCAACATCTCCTCGCTCACGAAATCGGCAGCCTTGGGGCTGGCATAAGCCGCCTTGCTGTCAGCCGATAGAGTTCGTGTGAGCGCGCCCGATCCTGGCGATGGCTGAAAAGATGCCGATCCGGGTGGGTGCACCATTGAGCCCTGCTTGACGAACTCGGCCAGTTCAGCCACCTTCTTGGCTGTCTCTCCAGTGGCCTTGTCGACCAGCTTTTGTAGACTCGCAACCAAACGCTCCTGGCCATCCTTTGTCACCATCTCGCGGATGATCTTCTCCAACATGGCGACACTAGCGGCGCCCTCGACTGAGTATGGGTTCGGGCTGCCAATTCGTTCATCCGCCCAAGGACTAGTAGATGTCATTCTGGGGAAGGTGAACTGCTTTGTCGGGGTCATGTGGGGATCTTGGAGATTGAGGCTGCTAGACCGGGAGGTGTCTGCGTTGATGGCGGCGTTGGCGGCTGCTTGCTGCTTTTGTGACATAGTGGATAGGAGGTCCTTGAGTGACTTCCGAATGTCCTCATCGCGTGTGTTGGTGGCTTCCTTCAGGCTGATCAAATCAGTTGCATTGTCCTTACTCCGCCGGCTCAACTGTGACATGTCTTTCTGCAGACTGGACACGATGTTGTTGATGCTGAGAAGCTGGCTGGAGATGTTATCGAACGAGTGCGGTGGTGGCGGCCCGTGAACTGGCGCGGAAGCTGGTGTGGGCACCGGCGGCGACCGTGGTGGTGTTCGTGCCGTATCTTTTGTGACGTTGGACAATGGCGGATCAAGAAGGTGCTGAGGAATGGACATGGTCTGTAGGGCCATCATGGTTGCAGACGGCGGTGTGTTCTCGCCCAAGATGGCCCTGTTGCTGGGCCTTAGGGCAGGTGTGTCTTTGATCTCGAATCGCGGAGCCGGTGAAGGCGTAGTATCTTTTCCGAAGTAGTCCCTCTCGAAGTCGCGCGAGATGGGTCGCCCTCCCCTACTCGACGGCCGGTCACGGTCTGGTGAGCGCTCGGGCGACCGATCCAGGAAGGGCCGCTCAGGCGAGCGGTTGTCGAGATAGCTGCGTAGATCGCGAACGCTGCCTGGCTGTAGTGACTGCATGCGCTTGTGTGTTGTGCCTTTGATCAGAGACCGCTCGGTCGATGTGAGCTTCTGTGGCATAGGATTAGTAGTGTATGAGCTTGCAGGTAAGCTCTCTCGCGCCTTCTCCTCAAGCGCCTTCGCCGCCTGCATGATGGCTGCGGATGTGTTGGGACGTGTTGTCAGGTTTGGCGAGCCTGGATTGATAGGCAATGGCGGAGGCGCCCGGTCAGGATCAGCACTATCCCACCTGAAGCTATGTCAGTCACATATGGCTATATATTTTACGGTGGGGAAAGACAAACATTGGAATCATCCGGTCAGACGAGAATGAGTGCGAGTGCCGGACGAGCTCCCGGTCGCGCGAGACTTCTCGGGACTCTGACGAAGACATTGTGATGTGGTGGTGGTGGAGAGGATGTGGTCAGACCAGTTTGTGTATCTCGGGTGGAGTGGGGTGCCTGGTGGGAGGATGGGAGAGCGGGAAAGTGCCCAAGGCAGGTGGAGGGCGGGAGATAATTTCGAGTGCACAGCTGAGGCTATCTTGGACGCGAAATGCTTCAGCGATCCAGCGCAGGGTATATAATACTTCGTGATATTCGTGAGGGTAGAATGCGTGCGAAACTGAGCTTGGTGGGCGGCTGCCGTGTTGATCAATAGTGTTGGGATTTGTTTACGTGCACTGACCAATAGGCGATGACGATGGCGGCGCGACTGCCAACACAGCCGTCGCTGGGGCAGCGACGGCGCGAACGGGATGGACCCAGTTGTAGGATTGCGCCAATTAGATGCGAACATGCCATTCGCAGCGGTGTAGGACGAATAATGCCGCGGTCAAGCAAAGGTCCTGAACCACAACAGGGCAATAACTTCCTGTCGCCCTGCTGTCGTTCCTGCAGGTCCAGTAGTCATGTGTCCTGAACCAGCGGGAAAAGTACAATGCGCAACCACAGTATCATCGCTAGTTATACAAAGACACGTCCAGTTTGGGAAGAGCATATCCTACAGAGTCGATGCTTGCGTCAATTGGGGCTGGAATACACAGGGCAACAGTGTCCCGGGCCCTACCGCAAGCTGTTTGTACATCAACACCAAAACTACACGCCATATCATGCTGAAGGGAGAGTCTATGAATAACATCTGGGTACATGGATAGACCAGGGGGACACGCATCCCGTTCGGCGCGACACTTACGCGGATCTAGACACTATAGTTTCGTTGTTAAGACATGATCGTGGGCAGTAATCAGTCGCGATACACAGACGACCTGATATGAACCATCGACATCAACTCTGCGACGCAGCACAAAGAGGTGACAATCGGCCTAAACAGAAGGAAAAGGCGCAACCCAGGTAAGAGATATAGGGTTGCTGCTGTGTTCACGATGGAAACCCAAGGTCCAGGGACAACCTTGGGAAAACAGAGTATTGAAGCAATTGAAAGATGGTAGCGAGTACGCTGCCAAAGAAAAGGCGAAAGGTTGTGGAACGACAACAAGAGACTGAAAGATCACATCTGCGGGCGTGACCCTCAGAGGAATGAGGGCGCGACAGATGTAATTCGATGACTGATACCACAGTAGGCCATAGTGGTAGGTGAGAACGAGTGCCTTCGAGCTATATAGATAGTGTCTTTGCTGTATCTTTCGAAAAGGAGACATGAGGGTGTGGGACCTCCACGATACGAGGCGTTGATGATATGTGGGGTAGATAATGCAGGGGCGACAATTTCTACAGCAGAGATCTTCACTTTTCAAATTGCGCAGCACGTGGTTACACTGCAACGCCAATGGGCCGACGAAAACTCTTCGTGAGCTTGTCCATGCTCTCTTGAGGAGATGTCTCTTTGACATTGAAACTGAGCTTCTTACTGAATACGACCAAGGCTATGCGGCGATTATCAATTGGTGGAGTGGCTTGATCTTTTCGATACAATCAAAACCTCATCATAATACTAGGTATCAACAAGGTGGGGTATCAATGACATCCAATTGCGCATGGACCTGTGTACGTACGCGTCCATGCTCCCATGACTGCTAACAGCTGTTTGTTTCAGACCTTACGCTTCCCGGAGCTGTCGTCATCCCTAGTGTCGACGATCGCAACGCTGTTATCGAAGTTGAAAGCTTTGAGGCTAGGAACCTCATAGGGAAAGTGAAAGACCAGCGTCATAATACGAAGCTTGCATTCGACCAGAGCTCACCCACGGAACACGCTGTGTCTCATCCATGGTGATCACCTCCACTTCAAGTGTTTTCTAACGGTACACGAGCCGAAGTACGAAGATGCACGTACTAGAGAACATGACCAAGCTTCTACGGCAAGTCCCTGACCACGTGCTTACCAAATTAAGGTTATGACGTCGGATGCCATTATTGGCGCCATGTCCAAATCAGACAATACACGAACTCCCTCTTGAGCTTTATTTCCCCTTTTCACACGTCTCCATCCACCCAGCGAAAAAACTTCATATCTTGCTGGCGCATATTTCAACACCAACGATAAATGTGAAGTGATAGGCATGCGTTTGATGAGATTTCCCCACTCATCGACCAACAGCGCTCATGTACGGAGCCTTGATGGCCGATCAGCTCTGAACTCGTGCTGACAGCTGCCCTGACTCTCGGCTAACAATCCCGTTCGTCGCGATCGACTGTAGGTAACGGCAGTGAGACGGAGATTTTCAAAACCTCAAGGAAGGAGAGATCTACCATGCCCCTGATAATCGCTTCATCCAGAAAGTGCTTATATTCAGCCTCACAGCGCTCTCACCAGTTGGACACGAGTTCAGTCATTCGCTCATTCACTCATTCAATCTTCTTCTAATATCTCAATCTATACCGATCCATTACAGCAAACGACTTCGAAATCGCAAGCTATTACACTCTTTTACAATCATGAGATTCATTCAGACACTCGGTTTCGTCTCTTGCGCTTTCGCAGCTGCTCTTCCAGTCGAGTAAGTTTTCTTTCTCACCATCACTGCATTTCTAATATTTGTAGCTTTGAGAGGCGCGATGTTGCAGGCCAAGATGTCGCAGGAACAGTTGGCAAGGTCGTTACTGTTCCCGGTGCGGTTGTCAATGGAGCATCCGGTGTGCTTCAGCGCGATGCGCCAATTGTAGGCGATGTCCCAACCGCTGCTGAGAAGGTCGGTGGTGTTCCCGGAAAGGTCGTCGGCACTGCTGGCAACGTGATTTCACGCGACCTCCCCGTTGTTGGCGACACTCTCTCCAGCGTGGAGACGGTCCCCGGCTCTGTCGTTGGTGGCGCTGGCAACATTGTTAAGCGCGACCTCCCCGTTGTTGGCGACACTCTCTCCAGCGTGGAGACGGTCCCCGGCTCTGTCGTTGGTGGCGCTGACAACATTGTTAAGCGCGACCTCCCCGTTGTTGGCGACACTCTCTCCAGCGTGGAGACGGTCCCCGGCTCTGTCGTTGGTGGCGCTGGCAACATTGTTAAGCGTGACCTCCCCGTTGTTGGCGACACTCTCTCCAGCGTGGAGACGGTCCCCGGCTCTGTCGTTGGTGGCGCTGGCAACATTGTTAAGCGTGACCTCCCCGTTGTTGGCGACACTCTCTCCAGCGTAGAGACGGTCCCCGGCTCTGTCGTTGGTGGCGCTGGCAACATTGTTAAGCGTGACCTCCCCGTTGTTGGCAACACTCTCTCCAGCGTGGAGACGGTCCCCGGCTCTGTCGTTGGTGGCGCTGGCAACGTTGTTAAGCGCGGTATCGACAGCATTCCAGTTGCTCCCCAAGTCATCGACGGCGTTGTCGCGCCAGTTGTAGCAGCACCTGGCACCACCCTCGCCGACGCGATCCCCCAGTAGAAGTAAGTCTACCCTTCAACTACAAGCGATACTCAGCTAACAATGGCCTTTAGGAAACGTCAATTGATCCTGACCAAGATCACTATGTCCTGGAACCACCCAGTACAAGGCTGTATGATTCCCCGAGATGATACGAGACAAGCGACGCCCTACAAGATTCCTCGATGACCTGTGTCTGGGATATGTGGGGGATTCTATTCGTCCAGGTGATAGGAGATGTTCTTCCATAGCCCACCGTGTTCAACGCCGCTGTCCTGATAGCGCATCTCTTAATAGCACTATTTCATTCTGCATGTTTTGACTGTTACTCCACTTGTGGCTGTGCTGCTATATATTTCCATCTTCCTCTTCGTACCTGAACATTGACCCTGCCCTTACTATGCAATTATTGCTCTTTGACTCTGCCTTTGTTCCAACACTGATGCCGACTCAGCTCCCTGTGCCATCTGATAGACTAACAATGGCCTGAATTAAGCCAAATAGGCTTTCCCAAGTTTTGAGTAGATCCCAGATGTAGAAAAATGCAAGAAACTGTTGTAGTTTACTATGCTTATCGTACCCCAATTACAACTTTCCTCAGTGGTCCGATTCCACATATCCACCTCCTATAAACACTCTACGGTCCTATTCCAACAAAAAAAAAGCATCATCCTGATCCTCATCGTCGATCGTGACTAGCTCTAACTATGCCCCGCCTTTGACACCTCACATCTGTCCATCCCCCAATGATGCCTGCGAACAAATCCGTCTTCCCACATGGAAAGAAAAACCATGTAGTTCGGGTACATATATGTAGGTGCCGACAAGTTAGGAAGTAGTATTGCAAAACAAGTATAATCGAAGCCATGTCAAACAGCGAAGACGCGACAATTCTGCCTGTCGCTCCATGACGTTGAGAAAAAGCAATTCTCCCGCCCAAAAGACGATAGCGTACAACCCACCAAAACCCCATATCCCAAACTACCACCACCTCTGCAGATCGCATCGCGTCACCCATCACCACGACAACCGCAAGCTGAGCACCGTACTTACGTATTCGGACCTACCACCCAGGTACAGTAAGCCTGATATATACCCCGAGCCCACATTAATATCCCGATCACGATCACTCGATTACACCCGTAAACCACCACAGCTTGCGATCGAAGTCGAGATATCTCGGCGGTATGACGTGAGATGTATGCCGGAGTGTAACCGATGGGATTTCATTTTCGTTCGGGTAGAAAGTGAAGCAAGGGAGGGAGGGTTCGGTGTGCGTGAGTGCTGTTGAAGAAGAAGGAGACGGAGGATGTGGGGTTTGGGTGAGACTGGGTGTGGACGGGGGTAATATGCCGTGGAGTAAGGATGACAGATAGTGTTGAGGGGTGGGTTTCCCATGTCCGGTCTGGGGAAAGAAAAAAGGTCGGATGTATAAACCGACACCACTAAGCATCCGGAGCATACTTGGGATGGAAAAGCTACAATAAAGCTATACAACCCTCCCCATCCCATGACAAACCAAACGCACACATATCTACAATGAAGTTCTTCAACCAACTGCCCGAACTAGGCTCAGCCCTATCCCTCTTCGGCGAAGCAACTACAACACCATCTACCAGCTTATTCAACATCACAGCCCTAACAGCCGCAAACAACGCCTCACGCCTCGAATGCTGGCAGCTAACCGCCGCGCCCGTCCTAGGAGGCGGCGGTGTAAACTACGCCCTCGGCGACGCCTTCACCCAAGCGAGATTAGGGATAATTCCGCCGAACACGACGACAGGGACGCTATCTAATGCGCCCAGAATACAGTACGTGTCTGTGATTTCTCCCATTCCTCCACGCCTCATTTCTCTGCCCAACCCATCTTGAAATGAGGACGGCCATGAAAACAATCTAAACCAACCAAGATACACAATCTTCCTCTCCGGCCTCGCCTACGTTCGCACCCCCGACTCGGGTCTGCCGAACCATCTGAACGAAGTCTACATCACGGGCGGCCGCTACGGCATGCTCCTTGCAGCCGACGTCAAACAAGTCGCGCACAAGGGCCACGTCACCACGTTTCCGGGCCTGCAACGCACGCTTATTGCGCAGTTTCCCGTGGCGGGCAACAAGGTGCCTGAGCATACTTTGGTGCACGAGGGGCCTTGTACGGATGCGGATCTTGCGGATCTGTAGATACGGATGTTGGAGGCAGTGAGGGAATAGAGAGAGAGGATAAGCATCAGGGACGGGGACGCCGGATGAGAAGGGATTGATCGGGTAGATTGAATTTTGAGGTCGCACGGGTTAGATTGGGTTCCAAGAGTTCCGTCTAAGAGATTGGCGAGAGATCTTGGTGTGGAGGGAGAGCTTGGGGGTCCCGGGTCGGATTATTCTCCGTCCTGGCATCATTATCCCTTTTTCTTGTTGGTTAAAGCAAAGGGAGACATCTGCTTGGAAGGCTTGGTATTTGCCTGTGTCATACTTAGATACAGACCGAGCGAGATGATGCTTGCGAGTTTGGTAATAGCGCGTCGCAAGTATGGCTCGGATAGAGCTTTGATATATGACGCAAATGACGGCAGAATGCTGTGACTACAGCAGCACATACGCGCGTCTGGAAGTGCAGTCACCGATTCCAACGCACATGATACAAGACAGCCGTCCCCATGGGGATACGTGCGGAGAGTGATACGCAAGCCACGTACGAAACAGCCGACGTCAACTACCGTATAGCATGATCACGTGCACATTACTCGCAAACATATCCAGGCGGAGCGGTGTTGTTCATCGAGCATGTTTCAGGCTCTCCGCCCTCCGCCCATGGTTCCGCCAAATGCCGTCAGAATATGAAACGTGGTCCGCTGATGATGTGCTCAAGGACTGATCGACGAGTCAAACAGGCTTGGTTTCGGCGCAAGGGTTGTCAGCATGCGGAGCGGGAATACGGACTGTCGGAGTATCATAAGTACGAAAGAATTGAGCTTATGCACGCGCGCGAGTTTCCTGGTTACAGCAGTCAGAATGGAATCGGCAGATTGCTGCCTGCTGGGTGAGCTGGTCGGGAAGTTTGGCTGAGGTGAGCCGTGAGCTGGTTGGAACAAACAATACATGCGCGGAGTAAATTCTAGTGGGAGACCCTGGTATACGACATACTTTGCAGATCATGCGAAACGCCGGTCCGTAAAGCTTATGTGGCGCATGCAGGGCCTATCTGGTATCTGGTACTGCAGAGCCTCTCTCTATCGGCGACGTCCCTGCTTACGGATGTCGGAGGGTGTTTAATGCAGGCAGGTGTTGAGGTGTGATCCATATTACTACTGCATGGTTGGGGGGCGAAGAAGAAGAAGAAGAAGAAGAAGAAGAAGAAGAAGAAGAAGAAGAAGAAGAAGAAGAAGAAGAAGAAGAAGAAGAACAGATAGCTTATCAGCCTGTGCCGCAAGCCTCATCAATTCACTATAGGAGGCTTGGCGCGTTGAGAGGCGGAGAGCTTGGTATACACCCACAACGGTCGGTGCTGCAAATTAGCGATCGGCGCCAATCAAACAGCCTTGGTGACCACAACGCGAGTCCGCATCTCGGCACTACAATGGACATGTGTTGCATAGGGAAAAGGCAGCACTCTGGGCTATACGGATAAATTGAGCCGTCAGGAGGAGTTGAGAGGAATTGTCGGCTCATCGAGGATACTATGCTAGTACGATCGGGCGCTATCGGGCCAACGCCATTGCTTGGCCTACCTTAATTTTTCCATCGGTTCCGGGCAACCCCTCAAGTTGGGGGGCTAGGGGCTTGCTATGGCACGGTGCGGCAATCCGATGGCGTAGTTCTGGACTGGTGGTACACAGCACGTGGACCTAATACTAGCCCATGACCTTCGCATTCGCAACGGCAGATGGCATCAGGCACAAAGAGGCAGTAGCAGGCGAAAGTCGCAAGGGGACACATTGCATCGCCACCTAGTGGATGTAGTGTGGACTTGCTGTTGCGTGCTTACTACCTAGGTTGTCGACCAGCTGATCATTGCTGGTTTGGGAGGGTGCGGTTGGCCAAATCCCAGGGTTGAGCGGCGGGTCAGAAATTATGCTTAAGTGTTGCGCCAACCTTATCTTCCACCTTGCAGATGTAAGTGAGTCGACTGGAAAGCTCGTGTTGATACCTACCTACACGGCGTACTGTGCATTCAGCGACAACGGAGAGCGGCAGTTGTCGGGCAGAAGCGTGATACCAAGTGTGCTAAGAGGGTCAAGAAGTAGGCGTGTTGTGGAACGGGTGAAATCCTGATTTCCTAATGCGAAACATGCGGATTGGAGTGTGGAGAAGCCAACGCTGGGCGGACATGACAAGTCGGATGACGCGGCTTTGGACCGAATTTGCTGATAAGAGAAGAAGCGGCCGTTGCCATGAGCGTGGAGCTGGACAAGACTTGGCTAGTTCTCAAAACAGATGCTCTTTACCTGCTTGGCAGGACTGAAAATGACCTGCGCCAATCATGTCCGACTCGGCCCTTTGTCTCTCTCGGGCAGCTAGGAGAGCAAGGATGCCTGGACCGGTGCCATGTTACAGAAGGTAAAGTGCCGTAGTCTGCTGGCTTTGGCAGTGTGCGGTTCCTAGACACAAATGGTTTGGTGGACGGGTCCGGCGGGTACAATGATGTGCTGCCTAGTTTTTCCTGGTGGGACAAACATGTTTGTAACCTTGGCAATGTCTCATGGCGGGTTGCAACCAGGTGAGCTGGCAAGTTGGCGGCTGGCGGAACGCTGCGGACGAAAACAAAGGGTGAGCTTGGAAGCGGGAATCGTGACGAGCTCCGACGGCCACTTCTCCTTGGTGGAGGCGGGTGTGCCACGGTCTTGTGATACCATCGGCCTGGATAGCTCGGATCGCCGTAGTACGCACGGAGGTAAGCTTAAACGATTGACACCAGGCTTAATCAAAACTCGTGGCCGAGCGGCTAGGCGAATGGGCTGAGAAGTAGCAAGCACTGAATTACGTTGCTGTGGAGCTGAGCAGACGCCTGTTGCACAAGCTGAGCGCCAGGGCTGGCTAGCTGTTTGCAGCTGTCTTGGAGGGTGAAGACACGACTACCGTGTTATTCTTACCCGGAACCGAGGAAGCTCCTTTCTTCCGCAGCCGTCAGCTCCAGGACTGGGAATTGGGGCCAAACGAAATGCCCGTCTCCAAGGCCGCCGAGAGGGGCAGTAGCGTGGACAAGTATTGTGTAGAGACTTGGGCCAGGGGCCAAGTATGCCATGACTGCGGTAGAGTGGTGCAGGAGGGCTCCGCGCCCACACGGACTTTTTGCTACGCCTTGGCTCTGCTTGGTACAATGAATGTAGAGGCGCCAGCGACAGCCAAGCAGGACAACTGACGGACGGGCTGTACCACATAGCGAAGCCTTGGGAGGTGTCAGAGCTGGGGTGCAAGTGGGCCCGCCAAGGCATCGAAGGCTTGTCGAAAATAAAGATTTGTTTAGAGTTGTCCGGCACACAAAGCTTGGCTGATGGCGACCAACGCCGCTGGGCGCTGCGGCGTACTGGGCATGCCGCTAATCATCACGATTGCAACTCAGGTGGGCAAGGCACAACGTACAACGTAGCATGTCCAGGTGGGGAGTCTGTATCTTGGCAGTCACTGCTACCGAGAAATTCTATGGCTATGTCCGTCCATGCAGCGTATAGGCCGTCGACGGCGGCACCGCTGGAACGGACGGCCAGTGAGCAGCTACAGCGAGCCGGGGTCGGTACAAAGCTTGTCGCGGCTGCTTGTGGGCCTTATTTCGCTATCAGACGCCACTCCACGTCTCGGCGGCGATCAAGAAGCACCACCCCAGCGCCGAGAAAGGGCCAAAAGACATTCCTGGAAATCCTGGGTCCCAAGCCTGCACCGCCCGCCCGAGTACATGAGGGCAGATGACTGCTCATGCCTTTTGTAAACTTTTGCGCCCCGAACCATCCTTCCCGGCCACCATCCCCAGCGCTGCCCACCGCCTTGCTTTCCTTATAGGAACACTCGCTCGAGTCTGCCTAACTTACTACACCCCACATATACCCGTCGTGTTTGCTTGCATCGACCCATCTCGTCACAGTCACACATCCTCTCGTGAGTTGCCTTTATTTCTGTTTGTGTCTCCGACTCGCTTTCCTCGTGTCATCACCGGCCTGCCGTTCGGTCGTATGCCATGCTCAGCCAACATCATGCGCACTCTTACTTTTCCGAGCTTGCCGGAAACCCCTGCATACATGTCATCCTTCTCGGCGACTACGACAGTCGCGCAGCACGCTTTGTAAGATTATTATAACAGCACAATTTTCTTGTCCCCACAAGGAGGTCACAACAATTGCTTTTCTTTGGCGCCCGCCCCGCCGCACCATAATGTGGATATGCTTCGGCTAACACAAGCCTTAGACACCCAATGAGGCATTGACCTTGTAATCTCCTTACGCTACCAAAACCAAATACTACGGTTGCTGCTATTACTACAACCGTCACCCATCTTCTACACATGAGCCCTATCACAATGGAGACCTACCACGGACACGTTCGCACGCCCAATGATGCCATCATTCTGTTCGAGGCCTGCCGTATTGGAATATTACCGCGAGTTCAGCGTCGCCTGTCAGAGAAAGAGCGCCAGCAAATCAAGTCTGGCTCAGTATTCGTATGGGACGAGCGCGAGGCTGGCATGAGGCGGTGGACTGACGGAAAGTCATGGAGTGCGAGTCGCGTATCAGGTAGCTTCCTCACGTACCGAGAGATGGAAGGCAAGAGGGGAGGAAGCGCAGTACCGGCAGCTCCGGTAGCCAAGAGGGCGTCAGGAAAGTCACCCGACGGCTCATCAAACGGAGACTCAGAAGGCGAGGGACCAGATGGATACAGGTACAAGCCAGACGGCCTGATGAAGCAGTCTTTCAGCATCACCACACAGAGCGGACAGCACCTCCACCTCATCAGCTACTACTCGCGATCAAATTCCAACAACCTCCCGCAACCGGCCAACGACGCGCAACTGCGACACATCCGCCCACCAAAGAACATGTATCCAGAGTCAGCAGTCAACGAGACCCAGACCGTGCCTGCCGTCACCCGCGGCCCAATGCCTGGTTCACCATACAGCGCACCTGGACACAGCATGCCACCGTCTTCACCATATACGCGCGGCGGACCCGTTGCGCCAATGTACGCCGTCCCTGTATACCCACCGACTCCGCCCAACGGCACCTCACCGCTGCATCCGTACTATCCGCAACATCCCTACTTCTACCCCGGCCTCATCTATGCACAGCCTCAATATCATCCACAAGCGCACGTCTACGATCGCCCACCGCAACATCCTCACGCCCCCCAAGCCCATCACCCAATGCTGATGCAGCACCCTGCCTACGCCGCGCATGCTGCCCACGCTGCACACGCGGCGGCTCAACAGTACATGGCGCCTTCAACACGCGCTCCATCTACTGCTGAACAAGCGCAACATTCACATCTCCAGCGTGCTAGTGTAGTCGCGCCTCCCCCAGCACCCGCACAAGCAATTCCTGAGCAAGGTCCACAACTCCCGGCCATCAACGGTGCTGCTGCTGCTGCTGCAGGAAATCCAAACAAGCCACCGACGCCAGAGCCTTCCGACAAGTCAGAATCTCGCGCGCCCGAGTCAGATGGCCCGGCAGCACAGCGCCCCCTCCCGACACTCGGTTCGTTGTTGAACGGTGACAGCCAGGACAAGGACAACCAGACCGGCAGCCGTTCTGGCAGTCGCAGTCCGAATACTGCAACGAGATTCCCTCGCGATCTTGCACCGGAGAGACTTGCCAAGAACAGCACTGCTGCTGACAGCAGCGCGCTTAACAAGCTCAATAGCGTATTCGTCCGGTCATAGTAATCTGATTGCGATGGCATCGACCGACTTGCGCATTCTGTTTTCTTCATTCCTCTTCTGATGCATAACCCCTTCTTCTCCTCTGCTCTTTTTCTTTCGAGTATGTGAGCGTTATTGGAAGCATTTACGAACTGCATATGTACGGAGTTTAGGTACCATTGGGATATGGGCATCATGAGGAGCCCCGGGATGGTTCACAGCATTGGCCGAGATCCGGCCTGGAGTTTTACGGCACCTGTACAGCTGTGTCATCATGGACCTATAGGGTATAACGCTAGTATCTAGTCCAGTATTTGCCATGAAAAATCATACCCTAATTTCATATCATGCGGTTGGTTCTGTGTCCATCACTTTAAACTTTTAGAGTTGGTTTCATGCTTAATGTCTAATCGTACCGTGCGCGATAAGCTCAACCAAGCTTTGACATCATCATCACCAACATCGCTTTGCCCCCATCCATCCACTTCCACTCAACAAGCATAGCCAAGACTGACTCCTCGGTTGCTTTTGTTGCGCATCGTGACAGCCGTATCTCATCACCGCATATCTCCGATCTTTCGGAACCAAACGTGCCACAGACACTGCAATGCAGCTTCCTATTGCGGAAGTCTCACTGCCTATCGTGCTACCCCGTTGGCCTATCTTCTCCTGCCGCGGATCAATGCGAACTGTACCCCGCAGGGTGCAGGTGGTATCGCACACGGACAGGGTTCTTATCAACTAGCACGTCAATGGCGTGTGACGGTTATGATGCCGGCTTTCCACTTTTGACGTTTTTGACATTAGACTTGGTTCTGTGGAGGCTATATGAAAGCCATTGGCAACTTGGCGCAGGTCTACTGCTACTCTCTCATAGATTTGCCATTGTGATAGACTGGTGGTGACGCTATTGAAACGCTATGGCTTCTGCTACTGAGCGACCGAGTCCATTGACGGACGTTGAGAAAGAGACGGTGGTTGAGAACAACAGCGCGGGCATCAAGAAAGTTATGCCGAAAGGTCTTGAGGAGAAACTCCTGAAGCATTCGCACGATGCAGATGCGGCGATGAAGGCGTATGAGGGCATGGAAGGCCAGGTCATTGAGTTGACCGAGGAGAAGAACCGAGCGCTTTTGAGGAAGATTGACATGCATTTGATGCCTGTGAGTCTGGAATACCCTAGATATCAAACACCTGTCTGACCAAAGTCCAGATCATGTGCATTGTATATGGCTTGAATTATCTTGGTATGACATATCTCAGCTTTCATATTAAACATCCACTTACTATGTTGCCCAAGACAAAACGACCCTTTCCTACGCCAGTATCATGGGACTCCGACTCCCTCCCTCCGAAAACAAACTAGCATCTGGAATTGGCCTCAAGGGAGACGAGTACTCTTGGCTCGGAAGCATGTTCTACTTTGGATACATTGCGTGGGAATACCCTACAACGCGATTACTCCAAGTTCTCCCGCTAGGGAAATACTGTAAGCTATTCCTTGCTTTTGTAAAGACTGGCACCCACTGATGCACCAAAGCCGCCTTTAACATCATAATGTGGGGTCTCGTACTCTCCTGCTTCGCAGCCGTGGAAAACTACGCCGGCGCAATCGCCATCCGCTTCTTCCTCGGTGTCTTCGAAGCAGCAGTTACCCCTGGCTTCGCCCTGTTCACTTCGCAATGGTACACGAAGAAAGAGCAGGGTTCCCGCACAGGCATCTGGTTCAGTTTCAACGGGTTCGCGCAAATCTTCGGTGGCTGCATCGCCTACGGCATTGCTGTCGGATGCCGAAAGACTGGCACTACGCTTGAGCCGTGGAAAATCATCTTCCTCGTTACTGGGCTGCTAACAACGTGTCTTGGATTCTTGTTCCTCTGGATTGTGCCGGACAACCAGTTGAACTGCAGGTGGCTGAGTAAAGAGGATCGGCTGCTGGCTATCGAGCGCATCCGAGTTAATGCGCAGGGTGTGGGTAATAAACACTTCAAGTGGTATCAACTAAAGGAGGCGCTGATTGACCCATTGAGTTGGGCATTCTTCTTCTACGCCCTTATCGCTGATATACCAAATGGTGAGAACCCTTTTACCCTCGCTTCTTACCCCCAGCAAAACAACTGACAACAAGCAAAGGTGGCATATCAAACTTCTTCTCTCAACTTATCGTTGGCTTCGGCTACACTCCCGAGCAATCCCTTCTCTACGGCACCCCCGGCGGAGCCGTCGAAGTCGTCTTCCTCATCGCCTGCGGCTATGCAGGCGACAAGTATGGATATCGCATCCTGATTTCCATGATTGGTCTCTGCACTGCTATGATCGGTATGATCCTCATCGTTGCACTTCCCCTAACAAACAACTCTGGTCGTCTGGCTGGGTACTATCTCACACAGGCTAGCCCAACGCCGTTTGTCGCGCTGCTGAGTTTGATCTCGAGTAATGTGGCGGGGTACACGAAGAAGACGACTGTTGCGGCTATGTATTTGATTGGGTATTGTGTGGGGAATATTATTGGTATGTGTTTCTCTCAAGATTCCCTCTCCATCTTTTGTCGTTTTTTCCTTTGGTTGGAGGAGTGGAAAGCTGACACTCAAGAAAACCAGGTCCCCAAACCTTCCGCCCATCAGACGCCCCGCGCTACGTCCCCGCAGAAGTCACAATCATCGTCTGCTGGGGCGTTTGTCTCGGTATCCTCGCCTTTATCCACTTCTACTGCGTCTGGCAGAATAAGAAGAAGGCGCAGATTCGTGAGAGCCCCGAGTATGTGAGACTGGAGAACCAAGAGTGAGTCTTACTTTGTTTTGCGAGTTCTGCTTGCCGTGTGTAGATGATGGAAGCTAATGGTGTTGTTACAGGTGGCTTGATCTTACGGATAAGGAGAACCCGGAGTTCATCTATACGTTGTAGATTGGGAGGATGTATATATTATTAGGTGGTGGTGGTGGTGGTGGTGTTGTTGCATTTGCGTGGAGGTCTTTTGCGAATCTAGAGGTGGTGCTGTGAGGAATGATACCCTGTGGATGTGTGTGTATGGACAGGTCAATAGAGAGTTAATTGTAGCTCCTTTTCGCCGATTGTACACGTGATTTTGCATGTTGAAGCCATTGCACTATGCTTTCCTTTCAATCACCCTACAAAACACGCTCACTGGAACCATGACATACATTAAAAACGTCAGCATATTCGTTTACATATTTGCTAACCTAAACAACCCCAACCTCCATCATTCACACAAACTACGACGAGCACGTTGCCAACATACTAGTCAACGCACTCTTCTCCGCACTCGTAATCGTCAAAGAATACACGCTCTTCACTTTAATCCACGCCTTACTGTAAGTGCAGTAGTAGCTCGTTAGCGGCGGCTTCCAGTCCTCAGGACCCTTGTCGCCCTTGGCCTGGTTCACATTGTCGGTTACAGCAAGCAGTTGGGGGTTAGTGAGGTCGTTTGCGAAAGCTTGACGGCGGGCTGTTGTCCATGCTGCGGCACCGGACTAGGGGGGTTTTGTTAGTTGGGGTTTTTACTTGAATGGGAGAGCGTGGTGGTAGGAATGGGAAAACATACCTTCCAAGCATTGCTCAACGGCACCATATGATCGATATCAACATCGCTGGCGGCAGTCCAAGAACCGCCGTCGTAGGGACTAAGCCAGTTTCCAGAGGTAGAAGCGCAAGCATCGTTTGTAACGACGTTTGTTCCGTCGCGCTTTAGCACCGTCTCGCGCGTGTTGCAGGTGCCGGATTGGGTGATCCAGTGAGGGAAAAGATCGCGGGAGTAACCATCTTGGGGACCTTGAGCGGCAACGGTGAGGCCGGCGAGGAGCGTGGTAGCGGTTGCTTTGGTGGGGATGTTTGGAGGGGCGCGGGCTTCGAGGCTGACGGGTGCAGGGGCGGCCGAGACGAGAGCGGCCGAGGCAACGGCGATGAAGATTGATGTCTTCATGATAGCGAATGTATGTGATAGTAGGTAAACTGTAAATGTGATGATGCTCTGGCCGTATCCTCTCTTTTACTCGACTGGCGTTTGCACTGCTTATGTACCTTACCTAGGTACTCACGTTCCTTCTCCCTTCGGCCTCTTTCACAGCCCTCTCACAGTCCAAACACCAATAATACGCACCACGCGCCCTTCATCTCTCCGCTGCTCCATTGTCCATTACCCCAATTACCCACCAAGTGCTCATGTCCGGCCACCATCGCGCTTCACGACCCCGAAACAGGCAGGTCAAGAAATAAGCCAAGTAAGTGACACCACGCCCATCCACTCATACCCAGTCCGGGCATTAACAGTGCTGCGGTAGTACCTGATCGGCAGCGTTTACACTTGCCAGCAAACCCCAACATGTGGTATATGCCTTCCTTTCGTGGGCGACGGGGCCGACCTATCTGCATGAGCGTAGAGAGATGACATGCAATGGCACTGGGAACTAGGAAGCTAGTAGGAGGCGTAAATTACTTTTTGTTACAAACAGAGTAGCTTCATGCTCGCAGGTGCTCTTATCTCGGCGTCTGATAGGGTGCGGGGTGAGATTGGCCTAATACGACGATCATCTTAATCGGGCTGGTAAGACATGAAACCCCCAATGGGCGATTTTTGTTCCCTTGCGGTCCGCTTGAAGCGTCGGAGATCCTTCCACAGATGAGGGATGAAGCGATAGGCGAATGATGGATGCGAGATGGCCAACGTGAAGATTGCGGTCATGGGTGGAGACAGCTGATAGTTGGTTAGTCTTGGTGGTCAAGCTGCCGAACTAGCTTCCGGCCAGCGCATCGCAACTTCGTTTTCCATCAGCCCGCCTTCTTCTCAACGCTCCGCTATATCATACTCTTCGGTAGTATTTGTAATCGTGGCTCTAGATGAAGCTTTCAACGCTCAGGTTTGAGCTGTACCTTAGAGCGTTGATATTATGCTGTAGTTGTGCGATCTCCGCTGAAGCTTGGATGGCATGCATCACTCTCTTTGCGACTCCCTGTGGGCTTCCAACTTACCTAGGTACTTGCACATAAATTAGTCCACGCGAACTCCAATAGACAAACGGTCGGATAGTGATGGTGATGCGCACACTTCCGAGCCTCAACCAAGGAAGGATTAGAAGCGGCCTACCGCAAGCGTCACGCCATATGCATTCTGTTGGCATCGCGTTATACTTTGAGCATAAGGAATGGGAAGTACTTGTAATACGACACCGTACAGTAGGACTGGTCCCCGCCGGTACATTTGCGCGGGCTGTGATTTATCGTTGTAACCATTCGTTCTGTACATGCACAAATAGTTACCTTCCGTCCTCCGAAACCGCCTCCCGTTCAAAACCAAAGAGTAATCCAGTCAGAACGCCTTCCAGGAAAAGGAAAATAATTGATACAGTCTTCGTTAGCAGTTTCAAGCGAGAGTTAGGTAAGCTCTCTAGCACTAACTATGAGTAGCTAACGTTTTCGCAGATGGAGCGACCCTTGGTAGGTAGTTAGTCACTGATACCCAGGTAGTAAAAGATCCATGCATACAAATGATACAACTAAATATCCTCAGGTAACGATTCTTGGGAGTACGTGCTCTGTCTCCAGACTGTCCCACGTTATGAGTGAAGTGGCGTGGTGTAGATCACAACATCGGCGACACGTTGGCTCCAATGTTTGTCTGCCAAGCCAACTGAATCAGGTTAGCTGCGCGGAGAACATGACTGTTAGAAAACAAGGGAAAGCACATAAATGCCAGACTGACAAATGACCTTTCTCACAGCACCCTAGGGTTTTGCATGTAGATGAACCTTTGTTTCCCTCTTCTAATCTCACGATCATGGCTCTACGCGTCGGACAAATTCTCAAAGGAGCGAGAGGAGTGTATGAGTTGCTGTATCCGATGAAGGGCTCGACTGTCTTCAAGGCTAAAGTGCTATCCAGCTCTTCACTACATGCAGACTGGTAGGGCTAAAAAGTGCTATCAGATCGTAGTAGTCGCTCACCGTCCTCTCAGGGCTGTTGTAAAGACCGCAAACACCGATCTGGAGAAAATGTGCCTCAAACGCGAGCACCGCAATTACAGGATTCCCGCAATTGCATCAAGCCCACATATCCGAGCGATGTACGACACCATACACTCAGAAGAAGAACATCATCAAGATGAAGAGCCATCATGCCTTGTGTTTGAATGGATGAACCAAGACTTGCATTCCGTGCCACCGCCTGAGTTTCGAAGTAATCCAAAGCTGCCTAAAGTTGTATCCAAGGCGGTTCTGTCGGCTCTTGATGTTTTCAAAACACTGAATGCCGTTCACACAGGTAAAACTGCCTCATACTGGCGTCACAAATAGTTACTGATTTCAATCAGATATTAGCCCAAACAACATCTACCTTAGCGACGCCCATGGCGTTTCTCCGGTGGCTAAGCTGGGGGACTTGGGAAACCGTAAGTGTAAACCGCATCTCTGCAATCGGATCTAATATTCTCTAGTGATTAGAGATGGATCGGTAACGCAGCGTACCCAGTGCCTACCGTGTCGAGCGCCAGAGGTTTGGCAAGGTCATTCGTGTCGACATACCTCAGATGTTTGGTCACTCGGAGTCACAGTCAGTACAGACAGTCTGCATCTCAAAAAACGATGCTAATCCAGTACAGTTGACAACCAAATCATCACCAGAAATTCTTTTCGGCGCAGCTGATAAAATGATACTAGACCACACCGAGGCGTGGTGCATTGCAAAGATGATACGTCTCATGGGCGGCCCCATAGGCCAACCTATCGATAATGAGACCTACCAGGATGAGTTTGCGCTTGCGGAACAGCTAGCCATCATGGATCATCCGAGTGATGGCACGAACCTCATCAGTAGAGACTATTGGCGTAAGGAACTGGAGAATATTCCGGACCCCCCTGTCCCACGGGACCTGCTGGACTTTATCGAATCTATACTGGTAATCGACTCGGAGAAGAGACCTACGGCTGCAGAAGCATTGATGCACCCATACTTGCGGACTGAAGTCTAGGGGAAGCATTGCTCTTGCTAGACACCATTGCCACTTGAGCAAATGGCAAGATGGAGACGTCCAATTCATGGCCATCCACAGGGCCTCTCATTCAGAGAGTATCATATTTGTATATTATGTAGTGATATGAGATGATTAACTCTTCTCTAGAATAGAACAACAGACTTTTGTAGTGTTGAGTCAGCCTTAGTTTCATCAAGTTACATTGTGATTGCGTTTAACAGAGTTGTGTTACCACCAGCGCTGCTTGCTTGATGACATACACGATACAGAGATAAGATGATCATTTTGTATCATTATCACAGTTATAACATCTAATCCAATTGTGATTGCATCATAACATCACTCATTGGTGGAAATTGACTTATACGGAATCCGTGTATCAAACATGTCGATCATAGTTCTAAATTAGTAGGATTGGTTATCACTACATAAGATGGGTCACCACAAGACCGATTTATACAAAAAGCCCCTGGAGTGGCTCCTCCTTCGCCAGCTGAATTCAGGTTAGCTTACTCGTGTCATGCTTTTTCTTTGGAGCTCACCTGTTGCTTATCCGGGTCTTCAGTAACATGCCCTACGGCTATGTGATTTCCTGCACTATCATGCACAAGAACTGTGCTGTGCATATTTTTATCATCACTTATGTGAGGCATGGATCTGTCTTGATCAGGAAATGAAGTTATACATGGTTGTAGTATACTCACGTAACAATAATTTCATGGGCCGCGCTTGCATGGCTTGATGAGAGGAGTGTGTTGTTTCTCAAAGCCATTTCCACCTTGTCTATTGTCGCTTTAAGCAGCTTCGGCTCAATTGCACTGACTACACGTTGATATCCAGCATTTTCATTTTTCTCAGGAATGTAGATAAAGTATGATTTGCTGCCGGATTGGACCTCCCTCTGGAAGAGTTTTTGAGTAATTCTAGCTACGGCTGTAGTTCGGTTCATTGTAGCTCGGTTCAGGGATATGAAGGCTGTCTGATGAGTGTGACAGGAATGGCTGATATGAGTGATGACTTGATAGGACAAGAGTTGTGAAAATAACTTGAAGCTCAGCTGTTTGGTTACTAAAACTGGTCGAGGACATCGCCAATTTGTAGTTGCTACACCCACTGCATACATACTGCGTCATAAACACTCCACGAAGTCATCAGGCTTGATCAGCATGTGTAGTGTACATGTCTGTGTTGACTCATTTGGGGGATAGTTGGAAACTTTGCGTATCTACTTAGATAGGTAGTCAACCTTGAAATCGTCAACTATGACTTGACGTTGTGTGTGTCGCACAGGGCAGCGTTCGCCCATAAATTGTTACATACCCTCGTAGATCAACCTTCTCAAACGTATGACTTGTACTATTGCTGGACGCTCGAAGTTACTCCTGCGCCAGCCAAACAATCTAGGCCCGTATACCAGTGCACCGGAGTAACGATCCACTTTCACCTCCCCGGCATTCTTATGCCACTGCCATCACATTAGCGGCAATAAGCTGTTGATCGTTGAGGAGGCGTACAGATCGCAAAATAACAAAATCCATGCTGATCTAAAACTGGGGCCGTATGTTGGTTTCAGGAGACAGTACTAAGCTCAAGAGGATGCACTGTAAGTACCTCTTTGGTCAAAACAATCAGAATCGTGGGGCTCTGAGTCTTCTTTGAGGTGTTCTAGACTTGCAAGGTGACGCGGAACGCACCCGAGACAGCTTCCAGTGCGAAATCCAGATAAGTGACAGTAAGACCGGATCAGGGTAGATCCGTCAGCGCTCCTTTCTCTTAGACGATGAGCGTAATTTCCAGACTCCGCAACAATCAATCGATTGACATGATTGATTCCTATATAGGTTAAAGAATTACTTCATTAGGCAGCCTTTAACCTAGATAGGAATCAATCATGCCGATCCGATTGATTGTTGCGGAGTCTGGTAATTTCCAGTAGAAGTTCAGTAGACAAGGCCTGCTAATGAAGAAGGCCAACTGTTAGGGTAGTACGTAGACTTATTTCTACGAAGTTAGAGCTTCGCTGTAGTCGTTTCAAAACGATGGTTTTAGGTGACTCATTAACTCGGCTGTGTAATGAAACTTCAAGTCGGTATCAGATTCAGTGTGCGCCATGTGTGTCACTAGAGAGATTTTCTTTGACACAAGATATCGTAAGCCTTTTTTTAATCCTTGCTCGGTGTTGGACAAGGCCTGTTCTTAGACAAGGCTGTTGTTGGAGTTGGTGGACAAGGCCCTTTCTTGGACAAAGCTGTTGTTGGAGTCTTTAGATAAGAATTGTTGTTAGTCGAAGCTTCTCCTTAGTCAAAACTGTTGTTAGTCAATGCCTGTTGTTGATGGTGTCGGCTCAGAACTGCGACAGCCAAGTGAGTATCTGCCGTTGTTCTGTCAACTTCGCCAGAGGCCATTGCTCTCACTTCTAGCCCTTCCGCGATATATAAACGGGCAACATAGTGAATGCATTTGCGGAAGCTCGATAGTGCATGTGCGTTCCTACAATACGTGACAAACATACATAGGTAGGAGGGGAATTTGCGTATGGTATCGCGTGATTCATCCAATCTCCCTTCCAAAAACTCAAACTTCAGTGTCAATACTAAAAATAAAATGCGCTATAAACGGTCGATTTCGCTGTTTTGCTGAATTTCAATGGAGTCTGCGAGGACAAGCAAGGCTTTGCAAGCGACAGTGTCCTATTAATAGAGTTAGGCGAAGACGTAGAATCTTGTTAGAAGACCGTTCCAAAAACTTTAGTGTATTGCAATAACAATTTGGCGAGAAGAAGTCGGTAGATTGCAGAATACTAGCTATAGGTCATAATATAGATAACAGACTGAAGCTCGATGCGTTATATAAGAGTCTATCGTGAGATACAAACCTGCGAACTTAATATGGTAATTTTGGGCCTGCGGAAGCTCATACAGAGCTGTGGACGTCGTGATTCTCTCTCTTGCGAATGTAGCTTCTTCATGTAAGTTGACAATCTCATCAATCCCCGAATATAGAATACTAAGAGGAAATAACAGGCAGTCACATCGATGATGACGAAAAGGGAATACAGATAACGATCCAGGTCTTGGCAATTTGGAGTTAAGCTTCTCCAACTCAAAGCTTGGTATGCCAACCCTTTAGTGCCGTCATGGACACTTTGAACAAAAACTACCGTTTCGAGTAAATCCGCCCCAATTTCGGAGTCTTGGAACCTTGGCTGAAGGGCTCCTCGGAGTCACAGCGACGCTTCATTGGATGTGGCAAAGTATAGGCGAGGTGTCAAATATTTCTCGGGGTACAAGACTGGGTATATGTTGACGATATGGATATGTCATGCTAGCTCTAAACCCGGTATATACTTTCTCAGTACGAATGTGGTACATGTCGTACATGCGGTATTGGTAGTTGAAGAGAAACTGGCTATTGTAAATTTTGCGGCAAGCCGGTCGCGGTTCAAGATAGCGGGTATTATGCGGCAAAGTCGAAATCCTTGAACGCCTCTTTGAACTTTTCAACATCCTGCTCTTCCTGAGCTTGCGTTTGTCCACAATCTTTCCAATCAACGCGGCGATCGAGCCTCAGCAGCTTTGCCAATACCTCCCGTCCAAACTGGTTATGGAACCGTATCTCCTCATTGAAGCGCATGACGTAGCTTGTTTGTTTATCGGGATCATCATTCGGGTTCCACACCAAAACCCTGAAGAAGTCGCTCGTCTCCTCGAAGCCGTCACCGACATCCTCCTTTTGAAACTTTGGCCAATGTAGATTTTCCGCTAATGCCTTGAAAGCGGCTTCCACCAACCCCTTGCTGATCAGATCTGCGTTCACTGGGAGGTATTGCCAGTGCGTATGCGGTAAACTGGATTTACTGACTTCCCAGGTGACAGACCCATATTCCTTGTCTGCCACAGAGTTCAGCATGCTGTTCATTGAGCGTCGGTATTTTTGCATTTCAGCGTAAGTCGCACGGCGTTCTTCTTCTTCCATCGAACCTAGCGTCGGCTGATGCGTAAAAGGAATAATGAGCATATGACAAGGGAAGCCAAGTTTGGCAAAGGTTTGTGGTGTCGGTAGAGGGCCCTTTGCCGTGGTCAGGTATGAGTTTTCGCCGATAGAGGTCACGAGATGAGTGGCAATGTTCTCGTTTGCCAAACAGAAGAAGCACTCTGACGCCGTAATGGGTCCGCGAGGCTCACCCTTGCGCCTCTTGTTGCCTCTTCGACCGCGATTACCATCGTCATATACTAGATGCTGCTCACGATGCTCCGGTGCTGCCCGCTTTTTCTCTGAGAGCGTCACCGGGCAAGCCGTCGAGCCTGCTGGTGGTGAGACTGGATGGCTCGCTGAAGGCTCAAGCGAAAAGGCATAAATCCACTTCTGCTTGTTAGGGTTACCGTAGGAGGCCAAGCTAATGAAGCGCGTTACCGGATAGAGGTTATCAGTCCCATCACTTGGCGCATGGAAGAATGGCTCTCGCTCGTAAAAGGTGCCCCCAGAAGTCGAGAAATGGTACTTGGGCTTTAGTATTACATCCAAGTCCGCGATGCATTGCTGTGTTGTTGGCTCTACGTCAGGGTTGAATTCGACTTTGGAGCGTTTTCGTATATCTTCTGGCCATTCGTTGGTGATGAGAATGTCCGCTGTAGTGGCTCCTCTCAGAATCTTGGCATCAGTCTCGCTGTAGAAGGGCGGGTACTTGTCCTTGGACTGGCCGGCCACAATCTTTGGATCTAGCCGTCCTCCTAGTGCAACTATGCGAATCCCTTCTGACGTCTTCATAGTCGTCCGCTTACCAAGGAAGAAAAGATTGTGACACAGCTCATCGCTCGATGATTCTAACTTTTCAACGACTGCTGGTGGAAGAGGATGGTTGCCAAGAGCGAAGTATGTCGGAAGTGGTACATCGATTTTGCCGTCAATGAGCGACTGCACGTCATCGGCGCCCTCGGCCTCATGTGAGGGCGCAAACAAATCACCTGCAACAAGTGCGAAAGCAAAGTTGTTCTTTGCTTGCAATGCACCCAGCTTCTGGAAGACGGCCTTGAAATGACCACTGACGTCACCAACGACCACGCTGAACGCGTCAGTATTATACAAATCAAATAACTTTCAATTGTATGTCGTCACTTACATTTTGGAAGCCATGCTGAGAGATAACGTTGATGTTGTGAGCTATGCAGACGCGTGGTGGTGAGGATGATTGATAGGCGCGTCGGAGACCTCGGTGGTGCCAGGGTCCAACTTTTTTGTTAGCGCGTGAATTTCTAGTGGAACATCGAGTGAAGATGCAACCACCGCAGGCTTCAACACCACTACACACTATGGCCGCCATGTCACGAGGCACTACCACAAAGGCCGCTACAAAGCCGAATTCTAAAGTAACAAAGTCGATGCGCCCACAGAAACGAGTCAAGGGCGGTACCGAATCGACGAAAAACCATGTCTTCAAAGGCTTCACCCAGCGCATTGCGCAGCTCAAGATCGAACCCGTCCGCCGCGGTCGCAGCACCATTCTCGACGATTCCGAGCTCGAATCGACCTTTTCGTACTTTCGCGACTCATTCATGGAATGGAGAGAACTCAACATGTCCGAAGCCTTCACTACCTTTGCCCGCAAAGTTGCGCCACTCTGTGATAGCCTCCCCCAGGTGCTCCACCACAGCGATCGCATATTCGAATTGTTGGTGGAATACATAGAGAAGGGCGAGAAATTCAGTCAGGAACCTCTGCTAAGCCTTATGGCGCATCTTGCACACGACCTGGGCGAGAGGTTCGAGAAGCATTTTGAGAAAGCAGTCAAGACGGTGTCACATCTGGCAGCGACACATGCCGATGTTGAGGTCATTGAGTGGGCTTTTGGCTGCTTGGCATGGTTGTTCAAGTACCTTTCGAGGCTGTTAGTACCCAACCTACGGCCCGTTTTCGATCTCATGTCGCCTTTACTGGGTAAAGAGCGCCAGAAAGCTTTTGTATCTCGATTTGCGGCCGAGTCGCTCAGCTTCCTGGTCCGTAAAGCAGGTGCTGGCTACCACAGAGACAAGACGCCACTCAGGTCAATAATCAAGCATATATCAGATCAGCTGAAGGACCAGCAAGAGTCTGCGAAAGACTACGCCTTCCAACAGGGTCTGATGTATCTCTTGACTGATTCGCTAAAGGGCGTGGGGCGTGGGTTTCACTCGAGCGCTACAGCAATCCTACAAGAGCTCTTGTTAGAGACAACAAACGAGGAGCATCTACAGTTCCGGATCCCGCCTCTCGAGCCAGTCCTTGTTGGAGTTCTCACGGCCGCTATACACCACACGGATGCAGAGAATTTCGAACCCCTTTTGGAGGTATTTCTTGCCGAGATAGAGAAGGTGTCATCCGATATGCGCTATGCAGGCTTATCATCTCGCCTGCTATTAGTTGTTTGCGGTGTGCGTCAGGGTGACCGTATAGACGACTGGAGGCCCGTCCTGAATACCATCAGTCATTTAGTTGGCTCCACGAAGACTACAACCAATCTCGATCCTGTTGATGCGTGGGAGTTGCTCTCCGTCACATCCGTTGTCTTCCAGTATTGCACACTGGATGCAGCAATTCCTCATGAAAAGTTGCTCAAAGACCTCACTCGGAGTCAATGGGAGCCTTACTTTCTACCATTTTGCAATCTGTTTGCTGGGCTAGGGGTAGATAGGTTTAGGACACTGCTACTCATGCACTTCAAGAGGTGCGATTTTACACGCCCTCTAATTTTGTTTATATGCTGATGTTTCTCTAGCTTCGTCGCTCAAAAAGCCCACGAGTACGGCTCTCAATTCTGCGCTATTCTTCCTCAGCTCTACCAAAGCGGTGCACTTGCCAGTGGTACTTTACAGCCTTCCGACCGCTGGCAAACAACCTTGACTGAGCCCTTCGACAAGCTCGTTGAACCAGGACACGGTGACTTGGATCACGAGACTTTCTATTGCAACGCTCTACTGGACACCATAGAGACGCTACGCATAGCTGACGATAAGACGCATGGGATCTGGGATGACTTGGCAAAGCTTCTAAAGAATGCCGTCGAGATCGACAAAGGAAACCCTCTGTACACTGTGGATAGGTTCGCCACCGGAAGTGGTTTTCAGTTCCTCGTCAAGAAATGCGACAATAGCGACTTGTTGATCAGTCTCTGGCCTACTCTATGCGAAACTTCCGCTATCTATGGCCACTCCATTTCCTATTGGCACGCGCTACTGGATTTGTTGAAACGGGAAAAGGCGAAGCTCGATATCACAGGAGCACACATGGAGCCTCTCAAGCGAACTCTCATGCGCTGCTTGGCGTCCCCATCGCATGATCTCAGACTCACAGCTATATACGCGCTGCAGCTCGTTGCGGGGCAAGAGGAGGAGCTGCAGGACATATTGTCTGTTGCAATGTTGATCGAGCAAACACCACCAAACCTCGAAACACAACGATCCATCGCCATGCGTGTTGGACAACTCGCGAAGCTGTATCCGAATGTATGCTCCAACGAGTGGATAGGTGAGGCCACCCCCACTTTCTGCATGGGACTTCTGCATGTACGCCTAGCTTCAGTATGGGACGACAGTTGCGCGGCATTGAAAGCCATGTGTGACACAAAAGAGGGAGAAGGTTTTGTCACGCAAATCGTGTTCGAGTGCTTGACTGCTGTCAACACCGATGAGAGCGCAGACACCGGAGCGCAAGCCGCTTCCTCACAACGACCTTACGCTACCGAATTCGAATGTACCAACCTCATGCAGCTACAAGAGCATGTAGCCAACATCCAAGCACAGTCCGAAAACATAGAGGAGCAGCTGGAGGTCATATTCAAGGAGAGACATGCCGATGTGCCTTTCCACAACCCTTTCAGTAGGACCCAAGCCCTAAAGGTATTGGGATTTCTACCACATATCGCGGAAAAACGCTCGCGACTCCTGGTTCCAGTACTACTCATGTGGGCTTTGGACCGCCCTACAACGGATAATGTCGGTTCAGAAGAGGAAGAGTCTGTCACATCACAAGGTCGATGGTCAAGGAAAGATCAAAAGGCAATGCTTTCGATCTTTGCAAAGTTCAACAATCCCAAGGTTCTCTATCGAACGGATGAGGTCCGCGAGGCCTTGCTTGTGTTGTTGAGCAATGGAGACGTCGAGATTCAAAAGGCAGCACTAAAGGCTTTGCTCACTTGGAAAGATCCTACAATCGCTACATACCAGGAACAGCTACTAAACTTGCTCGATGACGAGCGGTTCCGAGACGAGCTTCCCATCTTTCTCAGCGAAGGAAAGCTTCACGATTCTGACGTTGGGCAAGTACTGCCCCTCATTCTGCGGCTATTGTATGGCAAGATTATAGCTGGGAAACGGGGTCTTGAGTCGAAGAGGAAGGCCGTCTTCGTCGGACTGAAAAACAGATTTGGCGACGATGCCATACACCAGTTCTTGCAAATCGCCTTCGGACGTTTGAGCCGTATTTCGGTCTTGAAGGACTCTGCACTGGATCAGGAATTGCTGGAGAAAGATCTAGTCGACGCACGCAAGCAGGTCGGAATGCTGAACCTGTTGGATGACTTACTCACCACCTTCGCAACTACCTTCGCTCCATTCACCACAACCGTCGTGGACCCCATCTTGTACTGCGCGATCAAGGCCTCACGTGACCTCTCAACCTCAAGCGACCGCGAAGGCGACGAAACCCGAACGATGCAAACGTCGCTGCTCAAGACTATACGGCAGCGAGCTATCCAAATTCTGGGTAGGTTGTTTGAGAATTGCCCGGAATTTCATTGGAAGCCATACGTTGGGATCCTCGTCCAAGAACTGGTTGAACCCAGGCTTGAACAGTTACCTATTGAAACAGCCCAGTCCGCCTCCGCTCTTCTACGGCTCCTTGCATCATGGTCGAAATCGTCTCTCACAGCTCCCTTCTTGGTCGAGTTCAACCCAGCGATCTTGTCCAAGGTCATTGAGTGTTTGGAAGTGCCGTCCGCTAAAGACGAGGTAAAATGTTTCGTTCTAGACAACATTATACGAAGCATAGTATCTCTTGTTGTGGTAGAAGATGAGACCCCGACAACAGAGTCCAAACTTCTCAAGAACCGCATCCATACGGATATTATTCAGCCATACTCGACTGCTATCATCCATCAAGTCGGCCAATTACTTCGGCAGAGCCCTGGAAAGGAGCTACTCGAATCTGGAGTTCAGACGGTTGCAGACTTGGCTCCCCATGTGGTGGGTGCTACAGAATCGCGCAGCATGATCGAGATTGCCACTTTCTTGTTACGCCAGCCTTCGAAACGTGTGAACCCACGCACAAAGCTGGGCTTGCTCAAAATTCTCCACGAGTTCATCCAGCGCTGTGATGATGAGAGCTTGAGCCAGCTGTTCGAAACAGTCTATGATGCTGTTTGCCCGATGTACTCGTTTGTTCAGGATCGGACAGCCAGAGATTTACTCTCTGATGTTCTCCAAGCTCTTGCAGACACCAACAGCGAACTCATGGTCGTTGTCAGACTCTGCCGCGATCTTAACTCCTTCGCCAAGGGGCGTCTCGATGAGCCGGACTTTGAAAAGCGGTCGCAAGCATTCAACAACATCAACGAAGAGGGCTATCGATCCTACACTCTCATGCAGTGGAAACCATTGGTTTACAATATGCTCTATCTCATCAAAGACAACGATGAGCTTAGCATCAGAGTGAACGCATCCTTTTCTTTGCGCCGCTTCAGCGAAGTCTCGTTGAGCGATGAGTTCAAGACTTTTGTCTCGACAGCCGTCCTACCTGGAATCCAGACAGGTATGCGGGAGACATCAGAGCTTGTGCGGGTCGAGTACCTTGCAGTTCTTGAACATATCGTCAAGACACACTCTGAGTGGGCCCCCATAGCGGATTTGCATGTTCTTCTATCAGAGGACGATGAAGCGTCGTTCTTCGGCAATATTTTGCACATTCAGGGCCATCGCCGTCTGAGAGCGTTACGTCGTTTGGCTGCTCATGCTACCCATCTGCGAGGTACGAACGTCTATCAGATCTTGATACCGCTTCTCGAACACTTCGTCTTCAACAAAGGCGATGATGAGGCCGCGGATAGCCTTCTAGGAGAGACGATCAAAACGCTCACAGCGTTGACCGAGCGCTTGGAGTGGCCACAATTCCGTTCTTTGCTGAAACGGTACATTGGCTATCTGGCCACCAAAGAAGACCTCCAAAAGCCAATCATCAGGTTGATTGCAGGCTCTATGGATGGATTAAATAGAGCGGGACGCGCCAAGGGTTATATCGCTGCCGTTCAAGCTGAGCAAGACAGTCACAGCACTTCAGAGCCTGTTGAAGCTTCAGATGCTATGGATATTGACGAGCCTCTATCAACTTTGGCAAAGACCCTTCCACAACAGGAAAAGCTCAGCAACGATCTCATCAACAACTTCCTGCCGGACTTGACCAGCTTCTTACACAAGAAAGACGAAGCGACGGTCAGCCTACGAGTGCCTATTGCGATCGCGATTGCCAAAGTCCTTCTCGTGCTCCCACCACTGGAGATTGAAAACCGCCTACCTGGAGTCCTTCTTGACATCTGCTACATCCTGAAGAGCCGCGCTCAGGAAGCTCGCGACATGTCAAGAAACACGTTGAGTGAGATTGCTATGCTCATGGGGCCTGGCTACCTTGGGTTTATTCTAAAGGCGTTGCGAACTGCTCTTCAACGAGGTTACCAACTCCACGTTCTCTCATTCACGCTCCATACTATCCTGGTCAAGCTTTCCGAGCAGACGAAGCCAGGTGATCTCGACTACTGTCTCGCAGAGGTTGTGGACGTCGTAAGTAGCGCTATTGTATTAGCAGTTTGACGAATGTATACTGACCTTTCCCAGATCATGGACGACACTTTCGGCGCAACAGGCCAGGAGAAAGACGCAGAGGAATACATTTCCAAGATGAAGGAAGTGAAGAGCAGCAAGAGTTTTGACTCCATGGACATCATAGCAAGATCGGCTACACCCGCGCACATCATCAAGCTTGTTCTTCCGATCAGGTCGCTCTTGATTGAAAAGCTCAACGCAAGGATGGTTCAGAAGATCGATGAACTCCTGCGACGTATCGGGTTGGGCGTCCTCCAGAACCCTACAGTCAACAACAGAGATATACTGGTCTTCTGCTACGAGCTCATTCAGGAGGTCTACGCGGCGAATACGTCTACCGAGAAGAAAGCGAAGATCGATCCCAAGAACAAGCGCTACCTGATCAACAACAAGGGTGCGGCCAAGTCCGGAGCCAGACTGAGCACCTCCTCCTATCTCTACAAGATGATCCGCTTTGGTATGGATATCCTTCGAACCGTGATGCGCAAGCATGAAGAGCTCCAGACCCCACAGAACTTGGCTGGCTTCCTGCCGATTATCGGTGATGCCATGGTGCAAGGACAGGAAGAGGTTCAGGTCTCGGCTGTTCGTCTCCTCACAACCATCATTAAGGTTCCAATGACCGAGTTGGACACCAACTGCCCCGTCTATATTGATGAGGCGATGCGCGCTATCAAGGGCGCCATGTCGTCCAACACCGAGCTCGCACAAGCATCGCTGAAGTTGGTCTCGGCGGTTTTACGCGAGCGACCAAATGTCCAAGTCAAGGAACGCGACATTGGCAATCTTCTCAAACGTATGATGCCTGACTTGGACGAACCGGACCGTTCCGGAGTCACGTTTGGGTTCCTCAAAGCTGTCATGAACCGGAACTTTGAGGTGCCTGAGATATACGAGGCCATGGACAAGGTTGCCGAGATGATGGTCACGAACCAGACAAGATCTGCGCGTGACGTTGCTCGCACTCACTACTTTCAGTTCCTGACATCTTACACACAAAGTGAGAAGCGCTTCAAGAAGCAGATTGAATTTCTTCTCAAGAACTTGCGATACGAGCATGTCGAGGGTAGACAATCCGTCATGGAAGCTCTGGATCTCATCATCGGCAAGGCCCTACCCCGGTTCCCGGAGAAGGCACAGTACGAATACCACGGGCTCATGTTCCTGCCACTCATCAATACTGTAGCCAACGACGATTCGGGCAAATGCCGGGAGATGGCCAGTCTGCTTGTCAAGAGGTTATTCCAACATGCCAGCGACAAGCGACTGCAAAGCTTCGCGGCTGATCTCAAGAGTTGGCTGGAACAAGACGACAACGTAGGCCTGAAACGACTTGGCATCCAGTGCTGGGGCTTCTACTTTGAGGCTATGGAGGACGATGAAGAGCCGAAAGAACTCTCATATGTCCTTAACCGAATAGACGCGATCATTGACGAATGCCTCAGTCGACGGGACGACGACGACTGGGAATTGTTGTACTACTCCCTCATCCTGTTGTCTAAAGTGTGCAAGAAGTACGCAGACACAATGTTCTCTTCGAGCAAAGACAGCCTCTGGACTGCAGTCCAGGCTAGCACAACCTACCCGCACATGTGGGTTAAGCTCAAAGCTGCAGAGTTGTTGGGCACGTACTTTTCTCATCTCGGCATATCGAACAAGGACACCGGTCTCGAAGCTCTTCCATTGGAAGGTTCTGGTGGCTTGCAGCTCGCGGAACAGAACATGACGCAGCTATGCAATGCTTTCTTGCGGAACCTGCTCAACCCAGAGGTCTCGGAACAACTTTGTACGCAGAGTGTCAAGAACATTGCCTTCCTCGCTCGCTGTCTAGCCGTCAACGGGGCAAAGTGGCACTGGCAAAAGACGGGTGACGACGACGATGACGAAGAGGTGGAAGGTACCGTGGCAGCAACAGCCGACGCAGGCGAAGCCTCAGATGCCGAACAAGAAGAAGACTTCGCCGGCTTCTCACCTCCCCCCCAACGCACCAAACCCCAAGCCCCCACCTCCGCCACCCCGCCAACAGCCATCCACCGCCTAACCATTCGCCTCTCCGGCATCCTCCGCAAAGACAAATCCACCATGCCCGCCAAAACATCCATCCTATCCCTCTTCGACACGCTCTCCGCAAAATCCCCCCTCGACCCCTTCGCCTCCTCGCTTCCCCATCTCCTCACCACGCTCTCCACGCTCGCTACCACAAACGCCACAGCACCCCGCTCAGACGCGCACAGGGCCCTTGGCGACAAAGCCACAGAAGTCATGAATACGCTGCAGAAACGACTGGGTACGCAGGAGTATCTGAAGATTATGGCGGAGGTAACGAAGGGCTTGAGGGAGAGAAGGGAGGAGAGGCGGAGGAAGAGGAAGGTTGAGGCTGTTGTTGATCCGGTTAAATGGGGCATGGAGAAGAGAAGACGGCATGATGTTAAGAGGGTTAATCGGAAGGAGAAGGGGAGAGAAGAGAGGGGGAAGAGGAGGGGGTGGTAGATGCATGTGGTATGCATTTTGTGGCGTTCAAGGCGTTTGTGTGAGAGAAAAGTTCAATTAGTATGGTTGTTCAGCTGGGAGACGAAGTATTCTCTAGACTTCGTAGTATGTCGTAGTGTAAATTGATGAACTTATGATATAATTATCCGCGACACACGATATTTATCCCTAGTATTTCTGTGCATACATCACGGGCATGAATGGTTACAGGGAGGTAGGCTGTGTCGGTGGCGTAAGTAGGGCGATCACGGAAGGACTTCGGGCCTAGAGAGACAGAGGTACGTAAGGCCTTTTAGAGAGCAAGTGAGCTGTCTCTCTCCGCAAAATAAGCCGCGTAAGCCATCTCAAAGCTGTGCTGTTTGTTGTTCAGATACATCATGCAAAGCTTCAGATATAATTGAGAGAAGAGAGAAATCATCTTTGATATTCCTCGTCGGCGCTTAAAGTTGCTTTCCGACAGTTTCCAAAGTGTGTCTGTTTAGATGAACGAGATAAAACCCAGGGGCCTTTGATGCAATCTGATTAAACGACCATAACGTCCTTGTGTGGGCAAAACCAGTTTCAATCCTCGGGCTTGAAAAAAAGAGTAAAGCAAGCTGGGCCCAAGAAAATGTGCAGCAAAAAAACCCTCATCGTTCGTAAACGGGTCATGACCTCTTAACGCCGTGTGCCGACTTCCATATGCCCTTGAGCGATTGCTTGACACCACGCCAGTCGCAACTGCGGCAGGAGGCGGTGGCTGTAGTAGTCATCGGGGAAGGGGTGCCGGTCTTTTCCGCTGAAATCGAATTGGTCGTCGTCGAGGAGCGCGTGTCGCCGCCGCGGCTCGAAGAGCGTCGGGAAATCACGCTATCCGTCTTGAGGCCCACAGGAGTCTTGTCATTGCTTCGCTCGCGCGATGTCACCTGTTCCTGAGGCCTCTCGCACCCCTAATCAATGCCATGTTGTTTTTTGAGTTTTTCTAAGTTTTCTTGGCGTTCGGCGAGATCACTCGCGGCCTTGAGCATCTTATCTGGCTGGTGATATAATACTGCGATAACACAGTCAGCGAATGATGCTACACGACATGGGTAGCGGGTGACATGGTGCACGTACCGACGAGATACCTATTCTGGAAGTTAAAGCCGTTCAGCTTGTCGCACGCCGACTTTGCGTCCATTACGTCTTCATAGACAACGAAGGCTGTGCCCTTTGTGTTGTTGGCGATGCCCTGGCGGATTTGGCTGCAGTGTTGTTAGTGGCTGAGGTGACAGCAGAGGCGCGCATGCGCTGGCGCATGGGAGGAGAAGACGACATACCGGACTGGGCCGAACTTGCCAAAGAGATCGAAGAGTTCAGCTGGGGTGACGTTGAAGCTGGCGGGTTGTTAGAAGAGATTCGCGACGTGATGTTGACGTGCCACTGACCTCAGGTTCTTCACGAAGAGAGCTCTACAAATGTCATGTTAGCGCATGGGTCGTGTGAGTTTGGCCGTCATAGCCTTGCCCTGGCTGGGCACGCGATGCGGAGAAGGACGGACGCACCGGTTAACTTCCGGGGCCAATTTTCCTCCTCGACTCATACTTTGGCGACTGTAGTGGACGGTAAAGGACGGGCTGCTGGGGTTGAAGTCGACGGGCGGCGTGGGGGGAGAGTGGAAAGTGAGCGTGTCGACGGTGAACATGCGGCATCTACCTATCCACGAACGGCGATGGGGGGTCCGAGCGTCGGAGCCACGTGATGGCAGCAAGAGCGACGTTGGCCGCACCTCGAGCCGGGAGTAGTTGCTGAAAAAGGGAGGCATGAGTGTAGACAGTGGAGGAAGACGAAGAAGACGAAGAGAACAGCAAGCCGGCCACGGTGCGTGAGGCGGCCATGGTGGCTTCTATGTAGTATCTTGACTTTCCAAATCATTACAGTAGAGCGCTCGAATCGGAGACGCGGGCTTGCAGCGAATGAAGGCGCTCAACCCTCCACAGGGCTCCCCCAAGCACCAGCATTGCCCACAGTCTGTATTTGCGCCTGAGGCTCTGTTTCACACCATCGCAACTCTTCTCTTATTCTTGCATGGTGCGCTGTGGCTGAGGTGTTCGCGCTGGTGTCCCCGAGCCGGCTTGTTGGACGGTGATTGATTGTCTGCGGCCGCGACATTGGGAACATTCCCTATACAATTCCCGGCGACATCTCCTCGACCATCCACCACCACACTCCCTCGACACTCGTTCGCTGTCCACGGCGCCACTGTCGCTCCGACGCAGGATATGCTCGCACCCGCCTGCTCCTCCGCCCGTCTCTCCGCTGTCTCTCAAGCCGCCCCATAGCCGCGCTGCGAACGACGCCAGCCAGAGCCAGAGTACCTCGCACCCCCGAGGCCCCAACTGCATCCACGTCCGCAGCCACCACCACCATGAGACGAGTTACATCTTTCAAGCACGAGTACCGGCAAGCTTCGGCGCGCGCCGCCACCCCGCCGCCGCCCATCTACGAGCCTCTGTCCCCAGTCCTGCAACCGACGGAGCCCTCGAGGGCGCACCCCGCCGGCACAGCCAATACTCGCACCGCGTCGCTATCACGCCCCGGCAATGGCAATGGCCCTCCAGTTGCGCCGTCTGCTCTCGGGAAGAGCACGCGCACAGCTGGCGGACAGCCAACGCCGCCGGTGACGTATGAGCCAGCTTTGCGCTCCGCACAACCTCCGCCGCACTTTTCCCTGGCGCAGCCATCGCCCATTGAAGCTCTGGCAGACGTCGCCATGATATCGCAGCATACAAGTCCGGCCTATGTTGGCCTCTCGCGCCCTGCCAACCAGCTGCCGACGTCGCCCATAGCCGGCTCCCTCCCCATCGGCGAACGCGCCCCAACGCAAGCCTTTGCGAGAGACCCTACATATCCTTACACCGACCGGCCTGCAAAGAGGGCACGCTCCGAGGTCTACGGCTCTCCCCAGTACGGCCAGGCCCACTCGAGACCGGCCACTAGTCACATCTCAAACCGACCCTACAACGTCGAGCAGATGGTAGATAGCG